GGGATCGAAGGATACACACAAAGAAATTGGTAAAAACATCAGTCAATAATATATATGCCGAGTCTTATTGCCCTGTCTACAGCGCTAGACACCCCTAGCTTGACCTCTATATCTACTCACAGACATCGCATCATATACTTCACTTCCCGCATATATAGCCAAGTCTCACCTTTTAATGCGGGTCCTAGTTGACATACCTGATAATCGTTTAACTCTTTCGCTACAAAACTGTCGGTTGTTATCTGTAGAAGGTCATTGAGGTGGTTGTTGTTAACGTCTCATTATGTAGTTTTGACGTTGTTCCAAACTACATGTATCTGTACTTCGTCTTAAGGCCATTTTGTTCTCTAAACTGTACATAAGTACATATAAACCGAGAGCATCTCTCCCTCTTCTAGTTTCTAATCATCATCGCATACAATACACTTTATGTTTTCGACTCTCTACGTACTGCTTCAAAACATAATCCGAGAAAACATCTATCATTACCCCGTATCGAGTCAGGAGCGAGCGGAAGGCTTTAGTAGAAAGATGGCTCATGAGCGTATCTTCAAACGTTTTCGACATTAGCCCTGTCTGTCTTGATCTTTCCTATCTTCCCCGATATATACCTTAACTGATAGACGACGTAGTGTCATTCCACCCGCTCCCACAAGATCCCCCACAGTCTAGACCTCCGTAATTCATTCCCTTCAAGCTTCCCAGCGATATAATCCAGTTTTCAACCACTGGACAGCACCAGATGGCTGGCCGAGACCCCAAGCTGGCTCGCAGCTCATATCACCCTACCGTCGATAGCTTGACCACATCATATGGCTGCGGCCAAGGGGGGCTGGAGACCGGAGCCGGAACGCTTCACCATGGTCTACCATGTCAACTATAAGTTGACTGTTCGTTGACTTATCAAAGGAAAGAAGAAAGAACCATCAAGTAGAGGCCAATCAGCTAATCTAATTTGACTAGATTAACAATCCGAGATGATCCAACATCTGGCACCCCAGACCATACTGTCGGCACCACCGCTGCCGATTCCCTTCATTTTTCCCTTCATTTTTTCACGGCGGCTTGGCCCGTGACCGTGGGAGCGTCTTAGCCAGCCAACCGAGTAACACAGTACAGCAGTACTTAAGCTTCTACCCGCCGCTCCTTACAGCCACTAACGTGACCCGCGGCCGGGTTAGAGTATCACCTCCACACACACCACTACCACCACCATCGCCACCACTCGCCTCACACCACCGCCGCCTCCCCGTTTAACCAACCCAGCGGCACACAGCTACCACAGCGCACAATCCAACCGCTGCATCAAACCCGCACGCCCAAATCCAAACAACGCTGGGGCATGCAATCGAATAACGCGGCCGTCAACCCTACAGACTACCCGGGCCCGGCTCTGGATGAATCCACTTGATTTACGGCGGACACAGATAAAGATACAGATACAGGCACTCCTACTGATCACCGACGCGCAGATCTAGAAGGCTATAAACAGCAAAGTGTTTCAGTTCACATGTTTCCGGCACAAACTCACAAGTCTCTGAACTCTGTCGCACACACCGCACCAGCCTGCCCAGGATCACCAAGTCCATATATACATCCCCGGAACCCATCCACGCGCAAACCGGAGAAATCTACACTAATTCATACCCCCACACACTGACCTATATGCCTACCTACCACTACACAGCACCAGCCTGACCAGTCTCAAATACGTACCAGCAGTAAATCCTCGAGAGTCGAATGCAGTAGCGACTCTTCGATGCTGCACAGGATCCAAGGCCACAGCTAGGGATCTGTACCAGGATCAATGAATAGATTCAACATTTCGCTATGCTATACCTCCTGTCTGTACCTGCGGCAGCAGCAGCCTTTCCAGCCAGATGTCCCTCGCTGACTATCCGAGACTCACAGGGTGCCGTTTCGACTGGACCCAGAAAAGCTAGAGCTGGGTGTCCGATCATGTGTTATCACTCGCGAGTTACGAGTGAGTGTTCATGATGCGAATTGGTTGCCTGTGGGGTTGATGGGATGGACGGTACGGGGAGTAGGTATAAGTGTGGGTATTTTATTGTTTCACTATTGGACTACGTTATGGACTCAATTCCCCACACACCGCTATTCCGCCCCGCTATTCCAGCACAAGTTTAAAAAAAACTACATTGATATCTCCCCCGCGGCCCCGCCCCCCCACTTCCCCCCCTCTTGCTTCACCCCTCCCCACTACCACATAAACCTCTGCACCCCCGCTTCTCCCTCCCACACAAAACCCCACCTCAAAAACACCCACAACACCCCCGCATCCACCAGCACAAAGCCCACAGTCTCCGCCCACCTCCTCCACTTCTCCACCCCCGCCCCCTCCCCGCCACCACAAACATGCACCCTCCACAACACCCACCCCACAACAAAATACCGCGCTTCCACCAGCCCCGCGCCCACCAGCGTCCCCACGACCGCCACTCCCCACCCCCACACCCACACCACACTCACCACCCCTCCGCGCCGCAGACCCGCTAGCACGCTCCATGCAGCGACCAGATACACCGGTGCCAGTGCGTACCGCACGAGCGGGTGGCGCAGGATGCTCCGCCGGAACACGTAGAAGACAAAGTGCCGGTTGTCAGCGAGCAGGTACGGGTGCAGGTACGTGTTATAATGGACCGCAAGCACAATCGCCGCTAACATACATGTGGTGCGAAGTAGCATTAGCCAGGACACTGACACGGGCTTTGTAGCCGCGGCGGGGGCGAAGCCGGGTGGGAGCTTGCGCGCGCGTTTACCGCGCGCGGAGCGGCGGGGGGGCGTGATGTAGACGCCGACATTGTCGGCCCAGCACTCTGCGATGAAGGATTTTGAGAGCAGGAGTGGCCAGGAGGTGAGGAGCGTGAAGGTTGCGAAGTAGAGGAGCTGTGGGATGTGTAGGGTCGGCTGGTGCGCGGATTTGTCGCCGAGGACGATGGAGAGGTCGTTCCAGAGGATGAAGACGGCGAAGGACGAGAGCACGCACAGGTATGGCAGCACCGCGACAAGCAGGGCGGTCCAGTGCTGCAGCGCCGCGAGAAGGATGGACACGGGGGTTGAGAAGAAGAAGTCCTGCGCAGTGACGGAGGGTGTGAAGGGAGGGTTCCAGACGCGGATCTTGGACGCCATGTCGAGGACGCGGGACCATGCTTGGGACAGCTCGCTGGTGCGCGCGGGGGCGGACTGGACATTGATCGTCCACGGCCCATCCTGGACCTCCTCCTGCGGCAGCACCAGCGGCTGCAGCGGCTCCTCCTCCGCAAGCCGTGAATTCACCCTACTCAGCGCCGGCGGTGTCGGTGCCTGCGGGGGCGCAACGGCCGGTCGTCCCTTCCTCTTCTTCCTCCTCCCCCCCGGCGACGCAATCGGTGTCACCGCCGGCGTCACCTCCTTCACCACACTCTCCTCCGCCACCGCCTCGACCGCCGCAGCAGCAGCAGGCTCCTCCGTCTTCTCCTCCCCCTGCGCAACCTCGAGCGCCCTCACGCCCTCCAGCACAACCAGAAACACCGCCCACAGCACATTCGTCTGCCTGAACCACAGCGCCACCCATCCCGCGCCCGCACTCGCCCACGTGCGCCGCTGCAGCCAGCACAAGTAGCTGAGCAGCACAAACACCGTCGAATACACGTCCGTGTAGTACAGGCCGGCGAAGAAGAACAGCAGCGGGAACAGCGCCACGTTGACGGCGCTGTGTGCGGCGGCGGCGCGCGGCAGCCCCGGGTGCACGAGGCGGAGGATCTGGTACGTGACGAGCGGCAGCACGAGCGCCACGCCGAGGGCGTTGAGGGCGCGCAGGGCGGCGGGGGTGCATGATGTGACGAGGGCGAGCGGGTAGGAGAGGAGGTAGAGGCCAGCGGGGGTGGTGAGTTTGGGGTCCCAGACGGTGAAGCGGTTGGTGCAGTAGGCTTGGGCTTGCGGGATGTGGAAGACTTCGTCCTGTGGGGGGGGGAGAGAGAGTTGTCAGCGCTGCCTGCCCACCGCTATGTACTAACCACCACCCCCTACCACCAATATCAAGAGCAATCGGGTTCCCCGAGCAGTAAGTAACGCACCAGATAGGGCTCCGGCACAACAGAGTTGACGAGCACGCTCACGGCCGCGGTCGCCGCGGCGAGGACGCAGATCCGGGGGATGAGAGGGTGCATTTGGCGAGCTTGTTTCACCCTCTGATTGTGTATTTGTTTTTTTTCGCGTGTGGGGAAGTGAGAGAGCGAAGAGGAGGTCGGGGAAAAGGGAAGAGGAGAAGAAGGAAAGGGAAAGGGATGATAGGACGCAGTCAGTTGTCGGTTGTTCACTACGAGTTTCTGTTGAGCCTCACTTGCTAACTCTTGACCAATGGCTCTTTCCCCCCCCCCCTTTCCCTGTCTGTCTGGTCTCTCGGGGGGCATGATCGACACAGCTACATGTAGAGTAATTGCAGACAGATGCTAACACTGGAGGAGCTCTTGTGCTTCAATTCGTGAACATCGCGCTCTACCAGAAACCCCCAATCCCAATCCCACTCCCAATCCCAATCCCAATTCCCGCCCCCTCCGCTCCTCTTCTCTTTTCTCGCCAGAAAATCCCACCACGGAATGTGCCGAGTGTTGGACCCTGGAGAAGGGCTTGCCGCAGCCCTAGCCCTGCGGCGGTGTAACCAATCAGGGGAGAGCGTGTGTGTGCAGTAGCCCTAACCCTGCAGACGTGAGAGGGCATGGAGGCGCCGGAGTAACAGTCAATGGTGGGATCTATCTATCTATATCTTGACACGTGCGGCGGGAGGGGGGGGATTCAGGTGCAGAAAGAGCCGAGTTTGTTTGTGGAGGGTTTCATGCTGTTATTGGTGGTGGTGGTGGTGGTGGTGGTGGTTCGAGTCGCGTGCTAGCTGGAGTGGACGATACCTCACCTCACCAATAAACAAACCCCCAATCCACAATCCACAATCCACAATCCACAATCCACAACCCACACGCTCCCCGCCACCAAGCACACACAACATGACGACCGCCGGCTCCCCCCTCCCCGGCACCGGCCCCCTCACCCCCTCCGAAATCGCCTTCCTCGCCGAGTCCCAACCAATCACCATAATCCCGCGCCAGCGCCTCGACCGCCTCCCGCTCATCTCCGTCCGTCCCCCTCTCCCCCATCCCCCCAAAAAAAGCACACCACTAACACCCCACCCCACAGGGCACCCTCCCCGCCTTCCACCCTCCCCAGCGCGCCACCGTCCCCCTCTGGCTCGCCCTCCTCCTCAAGCGCCAACGGCGCTGCAACATCCTGCCCCCCACCTGGCTCACCCCCCCGCAGCTCGATCTCGCGCTCAAGGCCGAGACCGACTCGCCGTTCTTCAGCGCGCTGCCCTTCCGCTGGCTCGAGACGGCCGAGCTGCTGCTCGAGGTGGCGGGCGACGACATTGGCGACGTGCGCGTGCAGCTGCGCGAGCTGCGCGAGGTGCGGCAGGGCAAGGTGCGCGAGGGCGTGAGGAAGGGCGTGGAGGGCACGTATGTGATGATGAATGGGCTGGGCGCGATGGAGATTGCGGAGGTGAGGGGCTTTGTGGCGGGGGTTGTGGATGGGGTGAGGAGGATTGGGGGGAGTAGGGAGGAGGGGAGGAGGAGGGGGGAGGAGGAGAGGGGGGTGGGTATGGAGGAGGATGATGATGAGGAGGAGGATTAGTGGGTGCGGGAGAAGAGGGGGGGGGGGGGGGGGGGTTTGTAAGTATGGTGTGGTTTTGCTTGCTTCTTTTTTTTTTTTTTTTTTTTTCTTCTCTCTCCTTTTTTTTTTTTTTTTTCTTGCGCTTCTTGATGGTGATGGCGTGGATGTGAATGTGCACAAAGCTACCAAACAGCTCCCAAACCCGTCCCATCCCAAGCCCAACACCGGCCAGGAACACCCTAGCTCGCCGCCCCACTCCCAGCATCTCCATGCCCTCCACTACTCTACCCCCACACTGGCCGATATCAAGGAGCAGGGTACCTAGTACATACATACCATACTTATCCTCTCCACGGTAGCCCGCCCACCCACACTGCCACCATAGCCAGAAACCTCGAATCCTATATCTCAATCCTGCACCTAGCCCCCATTATATAGCGGCCGAAAATAGAAAGAAAGCACAAAAGAAAGAAAGGAAGAGAGAAAGAAAAAAAAAAAAAATAGCAATATCAAACGATTACACCCGCGCCGAGTGCTTCACCGTGCCATCACCCGGCGTACGTGCGAGCTAGAGTACATGCATGGTAGAAACAATACCGGATGACAATCCATGATCCCGCTGCGCGTGCCCGTATTCCAATGGCTACATACATACATGTAGCTGTAACAAGACCAAAGCACCAGATGACATGTAGAAGAGACGACAATGTATCAACAGAGTTTCCCCCCCCCCCCCCCCTTTATACGCCATAATCCAGGACAGTTTCTCACGCCACCTAACTTGGCCGGATGGACTTCAATACCGAAACCGAATCGAATGTTATGATCCCGTGCCGCCCCACACCGAGTGCTTCACGAGCCATCACCCGTCATTGATTTTCCATAGCCAGAGAAACAAAACCACCATATTGCCATCACCCGTGACTGTGTTCTACACCTCTATATCATGCAACCCCCCCCCCATTCTCAATTAAAAAAAACCACACTAGGTATGAGTGGCTGTATACTATTGTAATTGTATCTAACAAATCAAGTGGTGTATTATGCTGTGGATCAGTATCCTCCCTTCCCACTTCCCTCTAACCCCCCTCGCCTCTCGAGCTTCATCCTGAGCTCTCGTGCCCCGTGCCTCATCGTCATTACTGCGTGCACTATCATCAACGAACGACCAAATATATCCTATCCCAATGCCAGAAACCGGAAAAGAAAAGATGGAAAAAACTATAGCAAACAAGAACAACAGCCAAATTAAACTCCCACAAAGCAAAAAAATCTCGCAAGGAAAGACATTTAAACACACAAGCAAGCCTAAAAAATAAAGAGAGAAGAAAAAAAAAGCAAAGCAAACCCCTCCGCCTATAAAGACTAAAGAAAAAACTAAGGCCTAAAAAAACGGGCCTAAAAACTAAAGAAACCCCCACCCACCCCCCCCCCAAATTTAACCCCCCCCCCTTCTTTTCTTTTTCTAATAGGTCCTATACATATGCACCGTCTCCCTCTCATCCGGATGCCTCGCCTCCTCAATCTCCACCATATCATCATAATACGGCGTCTGCTGCAGCATCAACGGCGGCGGCGGCGGCGCCTCAATCATCAGATACTGCGCGGGATGCGGCGCTGCCGGCGGCGGCGACGGGATCGTCGGTATATACATCGTCTGCCCCTGCTGCTGCTGCTGTCCCCCCTGATGCTGCCCCTGCTGGCCATGCTGCGTGATAAACTGGTGCTGATGCAGGTGCTGGTGGTGGTGGTGGTCGAAGGCCGTCGGCGACACCAGGCCGTTGTTCATATTGACATTATACGCCACGCCGCCATTCATCCCCATGTTCCCCATGTTCCCCATGCCCAAGCCATTCCCAAACGTCTGATGCTGCACCACAATCTCCATCGTCTCCGTACTCGACGTTCCGCCGCGGCCCCCACCCCCGCCCCCCTGCTGCTGCTGCTGCTGCTGCGCAGGCAGCACGCGGTTCAGGCTCTCATTGTACCCGCGGATCTCCTTAACCAGGGCCGAGAAGCGGCTGCGGTCCTGCACGACCCAGAACACCTTCTTCTTCGCGGCGGCCTTCTTCTGCAGCCTCTTGCTCAGGCAGCGCAGGTTGACGTGCGTCCACTCGAAGCCCTCTCGTGTCACGATGACCTCGTCGTCGCGCAGGCGCTCCAGGCCGCCGCGCTCGCTGAAGCCGCCGGCGATGAGCGTGAGCAGGTTTGTGACGACGTTGCGCGTCTCGATGCTGGTGAGGCGGGCGTCGAGCGGGCGCGGGTTGTGGCCCTTGTCGCGGAGCAGCCCGAGTGTCTTGCCCCAGGTGATGAGGAAGAGGCGTTCGATGGAGAGCTGGAGGAGGAGGGATTGGTGCTTTTTGGAGTGCGTTTTGTGCGTGCTGATTGTGTCGAAGAGGAGGATGGTGGTGAAGAGGGTGGAGGAGAGGGTGGTGGGGTCGTTGGGGAGGTGTTTGGAGGATTTGGAGGATTTGGACATTGTGGATGTGGGGGTGGGGGGGTACAGGTGGTGTAGGTGGTGGGTGATACGATCGGGCGGGTGGGTGTGTTTGGTGGGGATTGCCGATTAATTGATTGATGGGATGGATGCGCGGTGTGGTTGTGGTTGTGGAACGGAGAAAGAAAACTCCTCACGGAAACATGAATTGACCTTACTATGGACCAAAAGCCAGAACAGAAAGAGAGAGAGGAGAGGAGAGGAGAGGAGAGGAGAGGAGAAAGGTGGGCGGGTGAGTTGGCCAGGGTTACTTATATCAGTCAGTTCACCGTACCGCCCACCACACACACACACACACACACACACACAAACCACTGCACTCACTCTACTCACAGCCAACCCGACATCTTGGGCCCATACATACTCGTACATACACGGGTGGTACCCGCACACTGCATCCAGGCCTTTGTTTCATGCCTCCGTCTCCGTCTTTATCCCCTTGTTATCCCTCTCCCTATTTCTAGCTACCTATTCATACCTATCCTCCGGTCCCTCACTCTCCCTCCTCACTCAACAGCAACTCCCAAATCTCCCAACCCACTCCCCCAGCACCTGTCACCTCACTCCCACTACATAGCACCCATCACCCATCTGACCTCCACTGTGTCTCCTCAGCTCCGTCGATACCGTGACCGACCCGACCACCCCTCGACCGGCCGCCAACCAAACCACCCACCCAACCGGGCCGCATAAGCGCTCCCCTCCTGTCGTCGTGCATGACACCACACAACCCAGCAAGCCCAACCACACACACAACCACACACATGTGCTGGTCCACTGTCGTGCGAGAGGGTTAGGGCTCGCCGCGCAGCCTATCGGATGCGTCGTGGTACGTGTACTCGCTCACGTCTGGTGCGCACGCAGAGGAAGGAGGAGAGTTTGGGGGGGGGGGCGGGGGGGTGCCTGAGGAGACTAGAGCAGGTGGCTAGTTTGCTCTACGCGCGAGTGTGAGAAGCTAGAGTAGGGTAGAGTAGACTCGTAGAGTGTGTAGGGGACCTGGCTGGCTGGCTGGCTGGCTGGCTGGCTGGAGGTGTGGCCAGCGTCGGTGGAGCTGTCGAGTCTACATACCCTACGACGTCGGTGGGTAGGGTAGATAGAGCACATACTCTACATCCATGAGTGAGTGAGTGAGTGAGGTTTACAAGTTTCATTCACAGTAAGCAGCACTGGTAGGGTGTAGACTGGCCCTCCTCCCGACCTCCCCTCTCTGACGATACCTACCTACCTACATCAACATGTTCCCACCAGCAATGTAAGTACATATGTATATACTCTCTACGCACAGCATCTACAACCACTGGCGGCCATCCCACTCGACGTCGGCTAGAGCCTCCACTCCCCCACCCGGTCCTGCACAAGATCTACAAGGTTGAAGGCTGTACCTTCCCGGCTCCACCCCGCCCTGCTGATCGCCCAACAGGCCCCCCCGTCGCGGCTAGGCCGTTTCAAAAACGTCAGGCCCGTTGCGGCTAGTGGCCCTTGGGGGGTGAAAGTGCTACTCTACTCTCGAGTAGGTACATACAGTGACAATGATTACTGTTGCATGTACATTGATGGATGTAGTTGGATATAGATACATGGCCGGTGATATAGATAGATACATGGACTCTACCCGCCGGACCAGGATAGGTAGGGCAAGACAGGATTGTCTACTCTACTCTACTCTACCCTACTCTACTCTACTCTACTCTACTCTACCCTACTCTACTCTACTCTACTCTACTCAGCGATCGATTGCCGAGCACAAGTATGAGGAAGGACGCTGCCGGACGGACCGGTGCGTAGGACGGATCCGGTATGTTACTGGTATGTACCTACTCGTATGTAGCATGTAGGCATGTACGGCCTGTACTAGGTACGTGTAGAGTAGGAGGTATGTTACGTAGAGCGGAGTAGAATACTCTAGAGTAAAGTATGCGCAGTCGCAGCCCAGGCAGGCTCTACTCTACTCTGGAATACCTACCTACCATCGGCGTGTGAGATCGCAACTACTAACCACTCCCCATGTACCTACTCTCCATACACTACTCGTATTCTACATACCACACAGATACGCGCCAAGTCCACAATTTAGCACAGTATGCAATAGCGGTTCCTTTTACAAACGTCAGGAAAAATAACGAGTACTCTCCATATACCCTACCCACCTACATGCACCGTACATGTTGCCCACTCTGTCCCCCAGCCGTTGAACAACGATATAAGATGCGCATCCTCCTCGGGGGCCATGCGCAGCTACTACCTACTACTTCCCCATGATAGGATGCACGATTACGCGACCGTTTGGATCGGCTCGGCACTTTTCTGATTTGCCACGGCGCGGCGGCCTTTCTAGGGTGGGGGTTTCAGATCGAGGACGGAGGACAGAGGGGATAGGTATGTAGGTGTGTGTGTGTTTAGTTTGGGTCCTGGAGACTAGTGGAGTGGCCATGTGAGAGGTTGTGGTTGTGGTGGTGGTGGTGGTGGTGTGGTGGAAAGGGCACAAATATGTATGTTATGTGGGCACAACGAGCTAGCTTATGAGTGACATGAGAAAGTGGAACGAGACTACTAAGCCCTTCTGTCCAGTCTGACATGAATACTCTAGGTAATCCCTGGCTCTCGTTCCTATCACGAACCTCGCCTGTTTGCATACAATTAATGGAGTAAGCAATCAATCAATCAACGAACCTCGTCTGTGGCTTGGCGCATAAGGCATCACTCGGCGCACTGATACATGAGACCTCCGTTAACTCGATCCACGGTAATACATGTAGTAATATGCGCCTCTAACGTTTGTGCATTTAAGCATAGTTTTTTTTTTTTACGCTTATGCACGGATCACCACTAATATGTACATACACAAAGAAATATCGAATTCCGCGCGGAGGCCAGCTGCCTGCAGCTAGATCTCGGTCATATTGAGTAAACTGTATCATCTGATGAACGGCAGGTAACTGCAGATACATCTGAATACCAAGTCAGTCAAGAGAATGGTTGAGTTTTGGCCATTTCTTTGAAGAATATGGGTCAGTCACGAATGCATACAGTTTAACGAAAATCCGAATACTCGTGAGGCGTTACACATAATTATATAATTAAAACAAAAGAAACATGTGACAAGTCTGTCATGAGTACTATGCAAATGCTGTATACATATATAAACGCTTTAAAAGAAAGTAGAATTAAGGAAAATGCATATGAAAGAAAAAAAAGAAAAAGTTAAAAGGTTGAACGCTCAAGCTCTCATCAAAGAGGATCGTCGATTTCGGGGCGCCTTAGCATCCTTGCAATTGCTGTAATCCCAAGTGTTATCCGGCCACTGGATTCTTCGTCTTTCGGTTTGAAGTGGGCACCTCTGTCAAAGAGGAGTCTCAATATCGCGCCGTGCCCGCCGTTTGCTGCTGCCTGGAATGCCGTCATACCGTGACCCCATCCCGCACTAGCGTTTATATTGGCGCCTTGCTCCAGGAGGAGTAACACAACCTCGAGATGCCCCCCACCTGCTGCTGCTTGGAGTGCTGTTCGACCTTCAATATCACCTGGTTCGGCATTGATATCGGCACCTGCACCCAGGAGGAGGAGCACGGTCCCCATATGACCATTCTCCGCCGCTGCTTGCAGCGCTGTTCGACCGCTGCTATGTCCTGCACAGGCGTTCACATCCGCACCTTTATCCAACAGGAGCGCGACAATGTCGATATATCCATTGCCTGCCGCTGCTTGGAGCGCTGTTCGGCCGTGATAATCTCCTGCTCTGGCGTTGATGTTTGCACGGTAACCTAAGAGAACCCGCACGGTTTCGAAGTGTCCCTTCTCTGCCGCCGCCTGCAGCGCTGTTCGCCCGTTACATTGTGTCCCTTCAGCGTCGATCTGGGCACCCAAAGCCAGGAGAAATAGCACCATTTCTGTGTGCCCATTGCCTGCCGCTGCTTGCAGTGCTGTCCGACCACCGCTCTCTCCTGCTCTAGCATTGATCCTGGCGTGTTTTTCATATAGCAATCCCGCGATGTCCCTGTACCCCCCACCTGCTGCGGCTTGCAAAGCTGTAAGACCGCCACTGTCCGCTGGTTCGGCGTTGACATCGGCACCTCGACCCAAGAGGAGTGATACAATATCGAGGTGTCCACCACCTACTGCCGCTTGTAGTGCCGTTCGACCCCCTTCATATCCTGCTTTACCGTTGACCTCAGCACCTCTATGCAAGAGAAGTTCCACGACCTCAATGTGTCCACCGCCCGCGGCTGCCTGCAATGCTGTTCGACCGTGGTCATATCCTGCTCTAGCATTTATGAGTGCACCTCTATCCAAGAGGAGTCTCACCACCCCGATGTGCCCGCTACCTGCCGCTGCTTGAAGCGCCGTTCGGTCATCAAATTCCGCTGCTTTGGCATTGATGAACGCACGTCGATCTAAGAGAAGTGACACAACATCAAGGCGTCCTCTGCCTGCCGCTGCTTGAAGTGCTGTTCGACCTTCAAATTCCGCTGCTTCCATATTGATATCCGCACCTCTATCTAAGAGATATTTCACGACTTCGATATGCCCGTCATCAACTACTGCCTGGAGCGTTGTCCTACCACGTACTATAGCTTCTTTAGCGTTGATGTCAACACCGCATCTGTCCAAGAGGTCGGATATGGGCTTTGTATCCCCGCTGCCCGCTGCCAATAGAAATGCTTCTCCCATGACTGAACTGTCGCCCATCTCATATTTAAATATCAAGGCCTCAAGCTCAACCCGCTTTGTTATCCACCTATGCATCCGGGCCCCACTTGAGGTTATCCTAAGCCACTGTTTGGTAGTTAGGCATCTTTTGGAAAATTCTACACCCCATTCAGAGACGGGGACGCCGAGCTTCAGAGTCTTCTCTGGAAATTCCGCACTTCCGCTACAGTAAGAGTGAAAAAGCTTTGTGTTAGCCTCTAGAGCATATTCTATTTCCGGGTCAAGACCAGAGATGCTGTCTGTAGTTTTAGAGGCTGCCGCAAAAGGCGTTCGACCGGTCAAGATCTCGAAGACAACACAACCTAGAGCCCACATATCCACAGCCATCCAATCAAAAGATTCTTTGGGCTTATGGTATCCCAGGAGCTCCGGCGCCATGTACGCTAGGGTCCCTCCCCGATTACCCGACTGGCTCATATTTATCATACATTTTGATGATCCGAAATCAGCTAATTTGATACGCAAGGGTTCCAAATTGGCGATAAGAATGTTCTAAAATTTCTTTAGTAGGAGATCTTAACAAATTCGTTCAGGAACATCAATGCATAAATATACAATGGTTAGGCATAGATAGCTGGTGTCTCCTTCTCCCCCGGCGTCCCCATTGGTAGACTATTTCTGTTCAGGATGAGCTCCACTATAGAAATCTTACCTTGATACGACCTCCATATTTGCAGCTCATAACTGAACTCGAGTAGTAGACCATGTGTGGGTATGGGGTCGGTATGGGGCTGGGAACGATCCTAGTACGGGGTATAATTTCAACAACTGAGCAAGCAAATCAGAAATACACATACCTTTGGCTTTAGATCTCTGTGGCATATTTTTTTCTTATGCAGCACCACAAGCCCATCGAGCACTTGCTCAACTATTTGCCGGGCCTTTTCCTCTGACATCTTCCCGAATTCGAATTCAGTCTTGATATACTGTGATAAGTCGCCACCCTTCATGTATTCCATTGCAATATAGATAGAGTTCGTGTCCTCGTACCATCCCAGGCATTTCACGAACAGATTATTCTAACCATTTCATGTCAGTTATAAATCAACCGCAAAGGTTTAGGAGAGTCCTCACATCTCTCAGCGCAAGCATCGTCCTCAACTCCCGCTCAATCACCCTGTGTCGATCCCCCATCTTCCTAAATTCCAGCTTTATCTCCTTGACCGCCCTCAACTCCCCCGTCCGCTGCTCCTGCTGAAGAAAGACCTCTCCGTACCCGCCCTCGCCAAGCTTATCCTCCCTCTTCCATTTAGTACCTGCCTGTAGCAGCGGCCAGACGACCGGCCACCACCCTCTCTTGCCCTCTGAGTGCTCAACAATTTGGTTCTTTGCGTCGATCTTTGTGTTGAGCTTGAACCTAAGAATATCGAGCGACAGTATCGGTGACGGGGCTCGTTCTGCCATGGTCGCGGAGTGAATGTTCAAGCTTCGAAGAGTACACTTCTCTTGTCCCCCGCATCTTTTTGACCACAGTTTTCACAGCTTGCGCTGACTGCGCTGCCTCCTATGTACATACACACGTATTCGGGCACGCGCTTTGTCACCGGTCGCAGCCACTACATTCGGGATTGGTGTAACAATATCTGCATTATCCAGAAGCGCCGCAGCCAATCAATCAGACAGCTTCTGCATTCACTTGCTCCGGCGAAGCTGAGCTGCTGCCTAGGTAAGCACACATCTACGTACCCATAAGCGCCGCCACCATGTTGGGCATGTTACCAAATAAGAATTTGACAGCTAACCAGTGGAGAAAGAACTTCGCACCATATGGCCATACTAGCACTGAATGTCCATCATTATCGTGAGCGCTCCATGCACTGCGCCCGGGATCGTTATTTGGACAACTCAAGAGACAACAAACATCGTTTGGTTGCAATTATGTATACATGTCCTTAATTAAGCAGCTGAGGTTTTATAGGGAAATCCGTAATCATGGGGATCCGAATCCTGGATCTCGGCATAGGTATGGCCCTAACCCTATGCCAAGTCGCAAAAAAAGGAAATACTGCTGTATACACCACCTTTCCGCCATCTTACCCCTTGCCAAGTAATTACCCAGACCGATCGCCAATTCCTGGGCTCACCTGCCCCGAATATATGAAGAATTGCCAAAAGCCTCCGGACCCAACCAGAAATTTGGCGGATGCTCGACTTCAAATAAAAAAATCACAACCCTTCCGGCTGCCATGCCTCAGTCTCATAGCCCCAAGGCTTAGTGGGATGTGAGGTCTGGTGGTGAGCGACACTGCAGACTCGAGAATGGAGACGCAGTCGGTTGCGTCATAAATTCTCACTCGTTGTGAGATACTTTTGTGACTGTAGAGGAGTCCCTGACCGAGAATATATATTCTCCTTGCACAATGTTGGGCATTCCCTCTAGCCACGAATACAGTGCTGCCAACTAATGACTAACCCTATTGGTAGGCTTGTAACCTATCCTTACACGTTACCCGTGTCTGGCTATATGCTGATTTGATTTATTGATTAAGTAATTACACTAAGGTGATAATTATGGCCTCCCGGTTTAGGGAGATAGTGGTATTGGCTGATCGCCTGGGTCTGGGACTTACTTTATCCTTATATGATACTCAATAGATCTAGAGATTCGAAAGTAAGCCTTTTGTCCTTTTCCAAGTGAGTTACAGATAGTAGGACTACAAGTCGTACTTATCCGGACATTTTTTCAAGGGTTCAGAGTCGGTGACATTGGGGTATGTATTTAATTGGTGTACTTGTTATGCATGTGTAGAGTAATTAATCCTTACGAACACTCCGATATGTGATATAAGCGAGTGATGGTGTATGACCCATATATGTCGTGCACAAACTAATGGGATACCGACCCACCCTAATTTCTGGATTACATAGCTTCGCATACGTAACTCGAAGTATACAATATTTAATAGCTTAAAAATATATCTACAGTCGAATCGCCCTATAAGGGTACGACTTCGCGCCACTTTTGTACCCTTATCCCATAGTCCGTTAAAGCTGCCTATTGATTCGGGTGGTGTATTTTCAACCATGGCTTGTATCTAGATCACACACATATTCGGCTGCCACCCTTCCTCTTTTGGTAATTATTTTGTCTCAAAATAGACAGCATCCAAGTACCGGATTATGGGATAGTGCAGGATCTGTATAGTATGAATAGTTGCGTGTATAGAGTAGAGTGGCGGGGTTATGTAATGGCCACAGTTGCCACTAGTTAAGTGGAGTATATTAGATTAGGCGAGGAGCTTCTCTCCTGGAGATCATCATCAATGGTAATAGTTATTTACACGCACTTCATATAGGGCGATTCGACCGCATCTCTAACCTAAGACGAGTATACGTATCCGGTGTTTAAAATCCCTTAAAATACCCTGGTTTGGATGTCCTATGGACTTTTGATACCACGGTGTTTATCTAAACTAAATAAAGGGCATTTCTGGCGGTCGGAAGTCACTGCCTAGTGATGGCCACGAGACAAGATATCTCGAGCTATCGTTTTGAGACTTGCATGTATGCCTACAAGACCCGGCAATACAGAGCGTTTAGAGGGACTTCTATCTCGAGACAAGACTAAGGTTTGTCTCGAGACATGATGCAATACTTTATCGCTACTCATATACCTCGTACAGGTCTAATAATGGTCCGCTGGATTGATCATATGGGGTTTCAGAGGTGCACTTGGGGGAAAGCTGCAAATTTATAGCAAGCAGGTCCTGCCAAGATGAGGATAAATTTGGCCGCTATCAGGATAAGCCAGACAAATTCCAAGGTTAAGCTAGAACTGACAAGACCTTTGTTAATCGGTCTTTGTAGTAGATGTGGTCGACGAGCCAGCTCGAGATTGATTGATTGATTAATTAATTAGAGCCCGCTCGAGAAGAGAAGGAGGCCGAGGAAAAGTTCGATTCGACCTGTGAAGCTAGCAGCTGCTCGGTTTGACTCAACTTGTGGAAGCTTGAGTGGCTCGAAATTCTCAGTGGTCTCAGTTATTAGCCCTTAAGGCCTTGAAGTCATACTAGATCTGTTTTTGTCAATATATTATATTTCTAGGGTTAGGGTTTGATACTCCATGATCTTATAAACTCATTATTCTGAATTTTGGGCGCCAAATACTGAAGCTCCATGCCACAGTATTAAATGATCACTGATATTGTCGGCATCTCTAGAAGATTATTTCAAGACAAACAAAGGGTGGGGAATGCATAGAAGCAACACCTAAAAAACTCGAGCTTCTCAAGTCGAGCAGTGGAATAAGCTCGAACCAATTAACTCGACTCGTGAAAGTAGTTGCTCGTGACCACTCGAGCCGACTCGTCTCGTTGACCACACCAAACTGTTACTGCAGATGCTAGAGGTACCATCACCTACACCAAGATTTTGCCCTGCACATACCACATTACCAAATAGGTACGGGAACCTACCCCACTCCCGTTGTTTTGTCGATATTGAACTTGTTTAAACTTGCTCTCTAGAATAATGGGAAACGATTACCAGCTGAGAACATAATAGAACATCTCGTTCTGAGTCATACTAAGTCCACATCTCCTTGAAAATGACCCTAATGACCTTGAAGACGAGCTTGAAAATGGCTTCGAAGACGGCCTCGAAGACAGCACGTGAGAGAGATCTATATCAAAGTTAGGGATACAAACAAAGGGGCTTATGACGGTTCAAGCTATTGAAGCCCCGATAAAAGAAAGAGAACACTAATCTTTTTGTAGTTTGTTGGATGAAGAGCAAACAGTGAGTAGTGTGAAATATCTGGAGAAACCGCGCTTGCAATAGCACGTGATAGCAGGTGATGCCGGGTGATGGCAGGTGATGGCGGATGATGGCGGGTGATGGCGGGTGATATGGCCTACCAACTGTATCACATTAATACGCCACTAGCAGTATCGAAATTATGATATATCAGACCACATTACATAATGGGACCCGGCGTGTATGTAGGGTGTAGATTATATAGTTTTACGAATTCTATCCTACGAAGGGACCGCACCCAAATCAAAGGGCATTTTAAGGTTGGGGCTTTATTTGCCTGATTACATGCGCACACCCCATCAGGCCACACTCATTACTGCAAACCTTCATTCTCATGTATCACCTGCCACACTTCCCCACAATCAGTCTTCAATGCCTCTCAGTCCTTTAACAGTCATACCCTAAGTACTATTCACTAATAGAGCCTTTCGACCACTTTAATTACTCGATCATTGCAATGGAATGATTCTGTTTACTAGGCCGAGCTGAATTCATGACAACATACCAAATAATAAGGAGATTTTGATCACATCACGAAGGATAATGTTGGTACCTACTACGAATCCCTTTACTTGATTGAAGAGGATCGCGTACCCATCTACAGTTCTTCTGATTTTAAGAGAGAATATGGATCTTTTTAAACCCTCAAAGCAACTATATCTGAAAACACGCCTGCAGCCTGTCGGCCAACCCCTCGAAGTTCAAACGAATTGAAACTACAAACAATCATCTATACTTGGTGTCTGCTGCTAGCAGGCAGCGAGTAAGGGTTGGCTCGCCTCAGGGAGGATTGGACGGTGTGAGTTAGGGAAATACCATAGATCTTAGGCTCAAAACCGTCAGTCAGTGGGAATATACGAAAGTCTAATATATAGTTCATAGATTTGGGAACAATATTCGATTATCACGTCAAAACAAATAAGATGAAGTCCCCTAGACGAAGATACTGAGCAAGGAGCTTTATGTAAGAGCTCGATGACAAGTACTTTCTATACTCTTCATTTACTCATATATGCATAGGTTTTTGTGTAGTCCGAACTATTCCAACTACTACTCAGGGCCCGTTTGGGGGCCGTCCAAAACGGAGCTATGGGGGCTTAAAACTCCGTTCTGAGAAAACGGGTTGTGTTTGGCGACCCATTTTGCGGGTCCAGAAAACAACGTTAACTCCATGAAAACCGAGGTTTCCAACAAGCAGCTAGGACCTACCCCCCCGCTCAAAACTCCGTCTCGAAACCCCTCCGTATCCCACCCACTAACGGAGGATGGTTGAAACGTTATTTTCTACTGAGGCCAGCTCCCAAACAGGCCCTTAATTTCTAGCTCTCAGGCTTCGGTGGCTTCGGCTGGAGTAGTATTTTTCTTTTCTTTGCTTTTTTATTTCTTCATTTTGAAGAGAATCGCTGTTATCTTCTTCCTCATTGTGAATCAGATACATATCCAAGTAGGTCTCATAAAGAAAGCTGACAATACTTATATCCTACGCAGGTTCAAAAGTATGACCAAAGATCAGATTTCACACTTTATATCGCCAATTTTCAGAGTCAGGACCTATTGTTTCCTGTTCATGTTTGCCCATGAAAAACGATAAATACTGGTAAAAAAGAGCTTGTCCGACCGACCGTACCCATGATCTAAGTAATAACCAAGTCGTCGTCTAAATAAGACCTGGTTACGTATATATACGTATGTTTACACCCATCCACCGGCGCGAAACGTAGGTATCATATAGCTTTCTGCTTCGACAGCGACAAAGGGATTTCTCAATAATTTACTGATTCAAAGGCTTACCAATTTATGGTGCAATAGATAGAAGGTAGCGATAAACCTCATATTATTTCTACTGTCTATCTCAAAATTTGATTTTATTAACTTACAGAATACTGATCGATTGCCGTTGAGCTAAAAGAGGAGTCAAGTATATGTTTATATTTATAATTTAAGCATCTTTGGATCACATATTGTATTACCCACCCAATGAAACTAGTAGTATGTAAGTAAATCCACGAGATTTGCGTTGCAACTAAAGTTACAGTGAGTAGACGCTAAAAGACGTGATCACTAGTGATCACGCACGCATTTGAAGCAACTACCTACGTCGAAGAGCGTACATACACTTATACATCTAAAGAGGAACACTAACTTAACCTGAGTTTTAGTCAGTGCTTATGCTCCACAAGTGTCTCTATGTAGATTCGACTATTTCAAATTCAAATCTTCATTCGAATATAAGCAATTTCTCTACACCATGTTTTCACCTATGGGGGCTAAACCTACTACCTAAGTGCTTACATTAATTATACACCTTTAGTAGGTTCACCAACCACTCAGACAAACTTATTCTTGATACCCCGGAAAACTCTCCGCACAAAATCTCGCGACTCACAGCACAATCAGCTTATAGAACCTCATCGGAAAGACATAATCGAAAGTTTCGGTATAAACCATGTCCCTGGGTCTAGATATTTATTCTCCGGTTGGAACATGATGAATGAAACTTTAATCTTAGCTGCGTATATACATTCTTCGATGGTCAAAACCCTATGGTGGGTACATACGTACCCACATAAAGGGTCTACATTTGAGGCACATATCATGCGATTCAGAGGTTTGTGCTGAATGTATGTAACCCCCCACACTCTCTCATTGGCCGCCACAACGGATTCTTTAGCACATTGGCTACTCCATCTACCTACCTACCTAATATTCAGCCAACGAGCCGGGTTGACGAAGGGACGGATGAACCAACGGGTGGAAGGTCCGTGTGTTTGTCGTTGTACCACAATGACGTAGATGGGGGCTTTGAAACAGCATTCGAGACACTTTTTCACATCGCCGGGGGCTTTAGGATCGGATTTAAGATCGATCTATCCGTTTTTATTTACACTTGATTTACATGTTTCCCGCGAATTTCTCCGGGTATAAAGCTTGTTCTAGAAGAATCCAAGTATCATATCATGAGTATATTTAGAATTATATGGAAGAATGGTGATGAGAAGAAACTAATTATAGAGCAAACAGGTTTCAAAGCGTTGGTGAGATGCCTCGATGCCTAGGTACCAGGTATAAGCTGTGGCATTTCTCAAACATCGAGTTCAAGGGGCTCTCCGGAGGAAGCGATACGTTACTGCGGCAGATGAATTGGTGGAGTAAGTCGAGCCCCACGAATGAAGACATGTGATGGCAATTGCAGTTTCTTTATTGGATCGGCCCACTTTTATGCTTGAAATCCTCAAACAGCCTCGGTTATCAAGCTTATAATTACTTCCTGGCTGGATAGCGATACGAGGTTTCATAACCGAGTGATAACTTGTGATTAACGGGGATTCGCTGAGACAATTCTAATAAGCGAGGGTGCATATTCCCAAGGACAAGTAACCTTTTGATAACCAGCATAGATCTACAAGATCTACAAAGCACAAAGCCTAAAGACTGCTTGTATAGGAAATAAGTTCCTGACTATCGTGGAATGTTTCAGTGAGGGTCCGGGCCAATATGCGCCGACAATTATAATAAAAGGAGGTTTTCTCGGTGAGCCCGAGGTTTCCAGTACGTACAGTCCACTCAATGAATATTCGAATACTGCCTGTTGACAAACAGGGGTTGGAAACGTGACGAGAAACAGCCAAGACGCGAAACCCTTCATTTACTGTTGATTTCTATTGGCTCAATCCTCCCTTGTTCGTCGAGGGTATTTGTCGAGTGACGGTGAATGACTGTATCTACATTATTTTGAGGGCTTGATGGCACAGGTACACTTTCAGGTAGGCGTACCCACCGCCGGCACATCTTCATCGCTAGAATGATCTACACCAGGTTTCAATAGAGCTTATCGTTGTGCGGGAAGCCACTCGTCCATTTTTTCGAACACCTCTAATAATTACAGGTATATCGCTCTAGTTAATTAGAGATGCTTCACTACAAGTCACTCGATTATCGCGCCAAGAGGAACAATGAAGCCCAACCCCTTCCATCTCTGTTTAACCGAGGCGGGAAGCAGCTCCCACTTTGAGTGTCACCCAGACCCTTCCTGTCCGCTCAACCCTCCCTCGCCCTCCACCGTGAAGCTGGGACGCTTGTTTTTTCCGGAGGCGCCGAACGGAACAACCGGCATTAAGCTCGGTATTTTTCATAAAAGGTGGGCCGGGTGTCTCCAAGTGGCTAGTTATCACAAGTCAACATGCTTATCTACTAAATTTGTTCCTTGTTTACAGGAACAATAAGGCCCACGTGAGCGGGTATGAAACTGGGTTAAATAAGTGTGCACTTAGACTGTGGACATCCCTATTTGCACAAACGACAAGCACTGACTGTATCTAACCACGAGATTATTAGCTGCATGCTCTACCCTAGAGTAGGTAAAGCACTCTACTCTACTGTGGGGTAATGAATTCTTTGGATCTAGTACGAATTGGTACTCTGCCTATATATTTGATGGCCCAGAAATAACTGTTTGTTTCCGATCCTTTGAAAGGGCGGACCGCATGGAGTAACCAGAATAAGTTTTGTGTTTTGTTCGCTAGGGGTCGGTCGATAAGTACCTACATGTGGAGTACCTATGCACTCTAACCTGTGGACCCTTCCTCACTTTTGACGCGGATAGCCCTGCGGGGAAGGGCCACATTGACAATTGCAACTACATCATCGTACCATGCTCGGCGGATGTACGAACCGTACTTTAGACACAGGTGCATACCCTGCATTCAATCAGTTTCTTAATTATCTAGATACGACCTTGAAACTGGTCGCGAAACGATAAAGGGAATTCTACACATAGGTCAGAAGTTACAGCTTGAGGCTTTTATTGGGCTATGCTTTTCAATTTCAATCTCCAATCGTCACACTGCAACATGTGAAGGTTATTGACGGCTTGGAAGCAAATACTAGACCGTGTCGTAGTAATGGAGCACATTGATAGAGGGATATCTGGCTCTCCTCGTCATTCCGGGTTCACCATGCATAAGTTTAAGCATCCTGGGCCATAGGGATCCATGAAAAAGAAAATTCAATGTAGATCTCAAAAACCAACGAATGGGCATCAAAGTAACGAACTTCTATATGTCTGACCCTACCGATCACTGCTATTGATCATCACTGTGCCAGTACTTTATTCTGCAATTGAACCTGGGTTTTTCAGCGGTCCTCACCGCAAAAAAAAAAAACTTAAGCCAAACGGTGAGCCTAGAGAGGGCGCGCACCCACCAACAGGCGAGCTGAAACAGAAACAAAAAAGCAAAACGGCACAGCTAGAGAATTTAGCTATCTCGCAAAAGCAGGTCAATTACTCGCAGCAGGTAACAAGTACCCGAAAATGCACGTCCTAATCTGCAATTTCCATTGGAGTAGAAGTCAAAAATACACCAAAAACTTGCAGCTGCATATTCGGGTACTTCATGCCTGTCGTGAGTACGTGCTAGGGAAACGAGGCTTGCCGAACGGTTACAAAATGCCCGCCGAAATCAACCTATCATACACAGGCGGAGCGCTATCCCCTGGATGTATGAGACATTGGTAAAATCTCTCTCATGCATTAGCGTGGCCTATCCAGGAAGTGATTGACTGAGGTAAGGCAGCGAACTGCGAACTTTATGGCACCGTTAAGTATTCCAAGGACCGACAAAGGCAGCAAGCTGCTTACCTGGACGTTTTCTCACCCAAATTCAAGGTCACATGACGTTCATGCATGAGAGAGATTTTACCAATGTCTCATACATCCAGGGGATAGCTAATGGACGAGAGGAGCTCCGAATTTCCTGCTGGGAAGAGGAAAAAACCGCACACCCACCCACCACCTCGTGACATCTATGTCTCAGGATGGGAGCGACAGGACACTCTGATTGTGATGAGGCTCGAGCGGGCCCCACAATTACCGCCGAGATCTGTTCTGCCTGTCGCACGTTGGACCTCGCATGCGTGCGGGTTTAGATCTATGTGCCTATGGTTATCCTACCAGTACGGGCACAAGTACGGTAGGGACTCGCTCGTTCTGCTTGAATCACCAAAGGGTGCCGATGGGTGCTTTCCCCCACAGATATTCCAATTGTGGGGCATCTGGATCAAATTTGGTAAGCTTCTGGTGACCCATAGATACGGATCCTGCTTGAAGATATTCTGATTTAGGTATCAGTACCTAGAGGCTCGAGTAAGAGTACTTGTATCAATGCCAGTATCAAGCTATGACCTACTTCCCAACTCAAGTGACTAGACTGGTGTCCTGTCAATGGTATCAAAATAAACTACCCAAAATTACTTGACCTACCCCTCAGTTGCAACAGGGGAGTAGGCGAGTAGAGTAGAAAGGCACGAAATTGCACCATGTCCATAGTTTTGTATGACAGGGCACCGCCACACAAAACTCGTGGCAATTTTGCCTGGGTCTGGATTAGCGACTTGGTGGAGCGGTTAATCCCGATGCTGCATAGCAAGCAATTGCAAAGTGGCTACCGAAATCATTCCTTCGGTTTGATACTGCCGCAGGCAGGTAATATCCGTTATCCGTACCGAACGTATGTACCGGTACATTGAGCTGGTTTCTTAAGTAGGACTAAGGCTTTGAGGCCCGTTACACGGTATGTATAACGAACACATATATGTGACTATTGGGCAAACAGACAAATAACAGTAATAGTTTCCATCAATTGATTCGAAACAACTGGTCAGCTATGTGCTTCAATTGAAGTCGTGGGCCGTCTCGCTTTTACCTGGAAACTGGCGGGAATGTTACAAAACACAGATTAGAGACCCCCATGACGGCAATGACTTCAAAAGGAAGGAATTTCCCAAAGGACTCACTAAACAAAACATACATAGTAACGTATGTCCATCACTATAGTAGACCTCATGATCAAGAATTCTCCAACGTGCATACCACTTGAAACTAACCAAAGAAAAGGAACAACATCATCGACAGGAAGAATCGGTAAACTCCATATATCTGCAACCCATCACAGATCAGGGTCCCTCATCTTCCCGTCCCGAAAATTAACGCTGTGCCTCCCGGGCCAGCCCAGCCTCCGCCATGATCATATCGTTGCATATACGGACATACTCCGATGACCAATGCATTCTTTGGACCTGGTAGGTTGATGAAAATGTGATAATCGACTCATCACACCAGTTTCTTCTTCCTCTCCCTCCTCTTCTTGAGGTCTTTTTTCGCGGGATACCTAAAAAGCTACTCTAGGATTGTGTAATAACACAAAGGGGGGGATTTACTTTGGTTCGAATATATGGCGCGTATCAAGTATAGACTCTAAATACCCCTCCGGGGCTTCTCCGGGGGGGGGGGGGGGGAGGGTTTACAACAATTCGTGCCGGTATGAGAAGAGGAATAGAGGAGGGAGGGAGGAAAGCCATAGTCATCCCAGGCGGGATCTTGTTCTCGAATTTCGGCCTTTCGGGCTTAATCTGCTTCTAGAAGACGTATGAGAACCTAGCTTGAAGCCACCCATGGAGTTAGCCGCCAAACCTGGAACCTTGATAAAGAAACTTCGAGTGGCGAAAAAATAGACCCCTCCACAACAACTCCCGGGAAAAGAACGAAATAACGAAAAGGAAGGATTCCGAAGGAATGTACCAGGTACCTGGCTAGTAAGAGTGGGTAGGTAGAGCATGCGCAAGGGAAGTGGGTGTCAAAAGACTCGCTTATGTTTCTCAGAACGTGGTTATCTCCCGGTATGTATCCGGTATCATGTACGAGGAAGGGAAAAAAAGGAACTCTCTGATCAATTATTATTATTCGGGACCCTAGACCCCCTTGCATAATACACATGCCGCCACTAGAGTACCTGTCAACCACGTGGCAAATAATCGACGACCATGTACCCCCTGTGTAAAATGAAAATCCTAACGTCACACCGTTTTGTGGATCCTAGGAAAGGAAAGGCCTTAAGGCTAGAGTTTCTTCTTTTTCATTGTTCTTTTTTGGCTATCACCAAGTCTCAACTATTAGGTGCCCATTTCTCCTGGTACATGGATGAGGGGGGCTGTGACCTTAGGAGCCAATCCGCCAGTTTGGCGGTTTCATCATTGGCGTTAGCTAGCTAGGCAATTCACCTGCTCTAATTATTTCTTTTCTCTACATCCCGCGGTAACCACTAGAAGGACGTCTAAAGTTTGATAGAGTACGATAGGAACGACGTTGGGATTCCGGCGCTGCTTGAGTCCACTGTGGTTGTTGGTGGCTTGCATCTAGAGGAGAGACTACTTGGCCGCCCATGGCTACCGGCGTTCGCAAAGAAAGCCGGCATTTCAAACAGGGAAAGCAAAAACAAAGAAAAGGATCTAGAATAGTGAGCATACTACTCATTGAATTTCCAACCGGGCCTTGATGGCATGATATCTAGCGGAGGAGTGTGGTGGTGCTGGTGGTGGCGCCTAGTAAGAATTTTTGACGTTCCTACTAATCCCACGTGGTTTTACTCTTTCCGACCAGATAGGGATGGGGTGGTGGTACTGACTACAGTCGCAACTCGATATGCCGGATTGCCAAGATTCTAAGGATTCCGTACGGGATAGCAAAAAATCCGGGATAGCAGATTGATTTTGCAGTAGGAAAAATAATATTCTCAGAGGATCTCGTACGGGACAGCAAGGGATCCGGTGTATTGAGTTCCGGCATATCGAGTTGCGACTGTATGAAAGTGGTAAGAGTGACTACTCAGAACTGTCAGCTATTACTACCAATTTCCTCCTATTTTCTTTACTTTTTTTCTTTTTCCTTTCTTTTTTTCTTTAATCGGCTGAACGGTAGCGACAGCACGTTTTTTCCCTCGTGTCTTTTTTTCATTTTTTTTTTTCTTTTCCCTTTTATTTTCTCCCTGGTAGTGCACTTCCTCTCCTTGTTTCGGGTCTTACCTTGGATGGATCGACCGGACTGGCAGCAGGAGGAGCTTTCATCACCACGTTGTTGGTGCGGGCGCAATTAACCGCCTGAACACTGCAGAAGAGTAACATCGATACAAATCAATGTGCTCGACATCTAGCCTATGTCTAGTCTCATACGTAGCATTACTCAGGCCAATGTTTGCTGTACTCGAAGGTTTCATCAATTAATGGAACGACCTCTAAAGTACACCTACAGCATGTTGTGGTCTCTCCCTCTCAGATATTTAGAGCAAATATACACACCAGAATCCCAGCTGGCGGGGGATGCTAGGTCTCGGAGAAATCATCTCTTAGCGGCATAAGCGACAAAGCAAACGCACACTCTTTTGTTGGACGGAAAGGAAAGAAAAGAAAAAAAAAGACCCAAGGCCGCCCGCAGTCTTTGAGTATCATTCGGCGCGCCGGCAACATCTCCCCAATTTAGTCATCAACACCGCACCGGCGGCGCACTTGCAGGGTAAGTAGAGGCCAGTACTATACTAGTGCCAATGCTCTAATGAAATAAACACGGACCGAAACACGGCATTTTCGTTTTGTCTTTTTTTCTTCTTCCCTCTTTCAAAGACAGTAAGTCTACCCAAATCATTTCCCTGCCACCCCCCGGGGGTTGCAGATCTTTCTGTCAGGAGTAGTTGTGGTGTGGTTGGGACTAACTAGTACCAATAGGTTACCTATGCAGTTATGTTAGGTGAAGTGAAGTGAAGTGAGCTATGTAGTATTAACAGCGCTCTGACCCGGTCCGGTGTTTTGATGATATCAATGGCCACGTTTTTTCGTAGCGCATCATCGGGCGCGCGCGGACGGTGGTACCATGGTGCTACCATCGATACCCTAGGTACTGTAGGTACTCTACTCTAGAGTACTCAGCTCAGCTATCCGGCCTCTAATAGATGCACCTGGTCGGGTATGATAGGGTACTCGACCTGCTTACTTACTCTACAGGCCACTCTTGCTAGGATTGATGCAGAGGTATCAATATCGGGAGAGACAAAAATACATTCAATATGAAGGCTATATGTGTACATACATGTATGTCGCTGTTCTACTCTACTATATGCCATACCCTCCGTATACAATACCTACCTACATACATTGTCTATAAAGCCATAGCTACATAGAAATGCTGTGTGCAGCTGGCACAGAGGATAAACCCGACATGTATGTATGATAGCTACCTACATCATGCCCATATCCTGGGAAACAAGGAGTAGATGAAGGGGGGCCGGGGGGAGGAGGCATGATCGATGAGGAGGGATGTAAAGCACCGGTAGGGCCGCACACGCACGTCACAGTCAATCGCACAGCAGCAGAGGCCCGTAGAACACTGCAATGATTTACACCCGTATCCTCCCTCCTCCCTCTCGATCTCTCTCTTTTGACGTGTCACAAAGCGGGGGTAAGGCAGTCAAGCAAGCAAGGTGGATGAAGTAGAATACTCTACATACTCTGCGGAGTACTCTATTCCGCTGTTTTGAGTGACAAGGCAAGGTAGGGGCATGTACAATAGGTAAGGCAAGAGGGATGGGAAAATTCGCATGGAAGCACAACAGGTTCCTGACCCTACCCCCCGTGCGCGGAGGCGGGCGGACAGACAGGGCAAAAAAAAAAAAAAAAAGATGGATGGATGGGGATGGAAAACGTGGTTTGATAGATCATGGAGTTGCAAGGTCGCTTATCAAACAGTATCTAATATGCCACGCGCGTGTTGCGCACAGAGCAGGGATCTGCACCTCGTTTTTTGTCTCAGTTCGTTTCCATGGGGTAAGTATTATGTAGGGGAGAATCTTGGATGGCATCACCAAAAACAGTGGAAATGGGGAAGCTTGCTCTACAGATGCTAGCCAAGGAGTTGTATAAGGTAAGGCTTTCCCGAAAGAACGGGCGAAATAGACGTAAAGTGTAGGTAAAAAATAATGGTGAGCACACACATATCTATCAGTCAAGTTACCTATCTTTCATAACTAGGCCGAGTTGAATTGAATACTCCGCGACCTGGATTGAACACTCTCGGTACTCGAACTAGAGTACTCAGACTGTTTAGAGACATGTATCATTGAGTACCCTCATGGAGCCGGACAGCATCTCTAGAAGGAACCCCCACGTTCCTTGCCCCCCATAATCTACGTCTGCCCCGTAGAGCACTCTACGAGGCATGCAACACCACGATCGATTAAGACCCGCAAACTCATGTGAATGGACAGTTAGGCGAATTGTTGAAGGGGTCATCGAATCAATCTGTCGGCCAGACAACTAAAACCCAATCGCAATACTCCAAAAGACCCAGATATGGTTTCAGCCCTCCTCCGCCCCAGCTCCCTCATCCTTGCATGGAAGGGATATCTAAAAGTCTCATTCGTATAGCTATAGCAACTCAATGGTTGCTTGCTTCCTATGATCAGGCCATTTCATTTCTCTTGATAGTACCCGGGTTAAAGAGGACTGGCTGACTGGCTTGACTGACTGACGCGGACAAAACATCATAGTTTCGCTCGAGTCAGCCATATTGATCTGAATGCCGCGGCATCTCATCCCACTACTGTATCTCTTGCAGTTTTTCCGGGGATTGAGTCCGTAGGCCTAGGTAAGGTAGGGAAGGCTGTAATATCCTCAATGAATGATCTCCAAAAGCGTTCGAGATTGAATAACTTTCTAGAGTAATTGCTTAGACCCTCTCTTTCTTTTCTCCACCCCCCTCTCTGAGGGTGGGGGCTCTCTCGGAGAATATTTAATTAAAGCGCTTTAGCGGGGAAGCAGATATTTGGCGGGTTGACCTGACTCCCCCCCCCCGCTTGGCAGGATTTAGCTCGGTTTTTATCCTGTTTTTCATCCTTCTTTATTCGTGTTTCACAAAACCTGGTCTGGACCCCCCTTTTCCCCTATACACGATGTGGCTAGGCTCCTCCTCTTTACCTTGTGCTAGAGGAGAGTTAGATACTGTTGTTGCTTCTGATGGCTGGCCTTCTTCTCATCTACCAGTTTCCTGGGAATTGGCGGGGCGAGAGGAGCGGTTCACAGGTAATTTTCGGTTCTCCATGTGGAAAATAAATAAATAGATTCCCGTTTTATCTTTCCCGGTTGAGTTTGGCATCCCCTTCCCCCATCGTATTGACCTGCCTGATGACCCCATCTAGCTTATCCCTGTCATTGGATTCTCACCGCTCGAGCGAGGAGGGAGGGGTCAACTGGTATGTGATTGTCGGTATGGTAGGTAGGTACAATACCGAGTATGTAGGGAGTATTGGAATTTGCCAATAGGGTTGCCATATGCAGGCTGATGTAGGTTGTATGCAGTGTGTGTAAAGTATAGTACGGTTAGCATAACCCATACCGTAGTAGAGCATAACCCACATGGCTGATGGCCGATGTAATGACCGGCTTAGCAATCTCGAGTGACAGCGGTGTACCAGGAGTTGGTGATTTTCTTGCTGCTGTACCCCAAATTGGGCCATGTGGGAAAGCGATGACTGGCTGCTTGCTTGCCGAGTTCCAGCGGAGAACCGTTAAGCATGAATAAAAATTTAGATGGAGACTGCGTTTCAAAACAACCACCAAAAAAAAGATTCATTGCTCGTGCTTCGTATCGCGTGGGTGCAAGGATATGACGGGAAGCGGCAATAGCAGCCCTATTGGCTCTAGTGAATGAGATGCTTACGTTATTAGATGAACTCCCGAGGATAGGTTTGCCAATTTGTTTGTTGTGGACGAGCTTCGTCGAAAAAAGGGTGAGAGAGTGAAAGAGAGGTTCAAGGCTCAAACCACACGGTTCATTTTGCGTTTTCTTGTGCACATTTGTATGATCTCTCCCGTCTTGAAATCTTCCGTGAGACGTTGGATTTGCTTCTCTGATGTCCCATAGAGGATTAAGTTCAAGGCCTTCATTTGAAGATGGCTGCAGGGCTGATCCTTGACGAGCATCGGAACGTGGGGCCAAATTTCCCATTTCTCAACCGGCTGAAGGAGGTGGTGGTGAGAAAGGAAAAATAAAATAGAAGAAAATAAATAAATAAAAATAATTGGGTAAAACGAATAAAAGGGAATAAACCATTTTATCCTCGAACCCTTCCGTCTGCTGCACTGCATCATCCATCCCACATGAGTCTCAGCGCTTGATTTTGAGGTTTCATCTGTAGTTATATTCTGGCTGATGGTGTCACTTTTGGTGTTCTCCCAGGTCCTGATATACAGCCTACTGCTACTTGATTAGTTCTCCCTCGGTAGCGGTTCAATTCTACTGATTAGGGGGAGATTCGGAATGTCGAGAGGGATTGGGACTACTCCGCCGACGTCCCCGATGGCTGGAACATGTGTATGTACCATGCCTACTTCTGCTTTATGTAGTCGAGGGTATTGTATCGTGATGGTATATCAAAAGACATGTTCTAGGAACACAGTTGCAACTGTAGCCGGTGGGTGAGTGAGAAACTGCAAAACGTTGCCGAGTGCGCGATCGTGAATCGGTCGAATAAATTCCCGTTTGCGTCTGTTCCCGCTCGGCCTACCTATTTTTTTTTTTTTTTTCTTTCCGAGGGCGGGCGGCGGTCTGAAATTTTTGTCTATTTTTTTTTTTTTTTTTTTTTTTTTTTTTTTTGCTTTTTTGCTTTTTTGTTTATGTGCTCTCAACCCGTATCATGTTGTGCCAGGTTTAGACAGGCCTTTGACTCGCCTAGCACGTGTATGCTTATGCGGATGGATGCGTGCTTGCCATGTTTTTTTTGCCATGCTTTGTTAAGTCTAATCTTGGTAACTACTAATCCTTTGTAGCGGTTCTACGCACCCCTTTATGCTGGGGCCTTGTTCGAAAGAGGTTGCCGCATGTTCTGAAATTTCTGAACGAACCAATTGCCCTTTCGGCGATTTCTCACGCTGTCTGTGCAATTTCTATAGGAAATCAACTGAGTTCGAGACACTTGACGTAGGCAGATATCTCTGAGAAGACAAATATCCCCCTTACCTTCCCTAGATGTGTAGCAGAGTAGTAAGCGTCTCATATGGACTCCAAATAAAGGTCTTGTTGTGTTTGGCGAGCCCAAACCTTTACTGCGCCGGGCATCACCGACTCCAAAACTTCGTATGCGCACAGACAAATCAAAGTCCCAAGGGTACATACAAATAAATGAATTTGCTTGCGACATGTAGGGGAAATCTCATCACGGGAAAGTATTCTGAGGCGGAGACTTTTCGGTGACATGTTATCATTTGGCGACTGAACCTAAGGCTTTGTGACTAAAGACGTCTCGCGAGATGAGTTAGTTGGTGGGCTGAAGTTAAGAATTGGGCGGTTGTTGGACCACTCACTTCATCCTGTTCTACAGTTTCTCGGTATGGGAGATCAGGATATGCGATTTGTGAGTGAGTCAATGAAACTACTGCCCCTTCTTGTTTTATGCTTTGATAATAGGGAAACCACACGCTTAGTTACAAGCCTTTTCGATCGAACTGAGATGACCACATCTGCACGAGTAAGTTCTTCTAGAAGTAGACCACTGGAGGCCGAAATCTGGGTAACTGGATCAAGCTTCGATTAACCCCAATTTTAGCTGCTCAGAATTGCATGACCTTGCTTGCCGCACCATCAGTGAATTGGGGAAAATATAGCGGGAAGGTGTTCTTTCACTCTCATGAAAATCGGAGCTTTCAAAACGGAGCACCTTGCTTGATTCAAAACTGGATATCCCATTACCAATTCCGGTATCCCATGTGCGCCGCAAGGGAAGTAAGTAGCTTGCTAGACCCCGTATGGATGGTTGTTTGCATTATCCGGAGCGAGCCGTTCAATAGTTGGGAACGGGCATTGAGGTCACCGGCCCCTGTAGAGCGGTCACCGGCAGCGGGCTCCGTTCTCGGGAGTGGAATAGTAATAACGTGTAGAGTAGGTCTGCGATGAAAGTATTACTCCAGGAGACTCTCAAATCGGCTTGTTCAGCGGAATGGGCCAGCAGAACTTGAAGTAAGGGCTTTGTGGGAACGAGCCGATCCAATCAAGGAAGCGTTCAATAACGTGGATGCGGACTTAGTTGCTTTTTGATGGGGGGAGTGGGGTTAGTTGTGATTGGGTTTACAGGTCGACCGCCCTCGTTGCAACTAAGTTTGAAAGCGACAGGCAACAACAGCATGGGAATACTCCAGCTGGCTTTGTCAGTTTTATAAGTATAATTCAGGTGAATGACGAAGTACTGAATAGAGGAAGCTATTTCTGGGATCATTTACCTACCAAGTATGTAGTCACAATCACCATCACCGTCACCGCCGAGCAAAACGACACACACACACACACACACCTATGGAGAGCAGTACCTACATGCCTACATACTTCTCAACCCACCATCACAACTACAACCACCAGGGGCAGGGCAGGGCTGGGCTGGGACCAGGACAAGGGCTAGGACCGGGACATGGCCAGGAGTGAGAGTGCATGTGGGACCCACCAACGGTAGCCCCTCCACCGCCGGGGGGAGGAAGAAAGCCTTGTGCGCTTGTGGATTGTCCATCTGCGCAGGTCCTTTAACTCACTGGGCTTGGGGGTGGTTTCTCCCGCCTTTCCCTTTGCTACTTCTACTGCTCCACCCCCCCGCAAGTCGTCGCCATCGCCACGTGGTTCTGATCGTTTATCTTCACACTTGCATCCCAAGTGAGTCTCAACAAAAACCCTCGTCTTCCCCCGTCGAGCAGAAGCATCTTGGTTATCGTTCTTCGAAACCTGTAGCTGTTAAACACAACCACCACCACCATTATTACTACTACTACTACTACTACTAACCAGCCCAGACGCCAACCACTACAACCATAATAACCACCACACACACACCACACCTCACCTCACTCTTACACTTACACTCACACACTCCCACACTCCCACACTCATCGCTACAACTCATCTCCTTCTCAACATCATCAACCCATTCATTCACTGCCCCCTTTCATCACGTCGTATATTCACTCATACTCACTCGCTCACACCCCTTCCATAAGCACCTAACAATAAATATTTAAATATCTCACCCCCACCAACAATATCAACCATAGCTGCCGGACACAGAGCCTCGCTTTCCGTTCGAGATTCTCTACTCTCGTTCAACTTCTTTAACGACACCGGTCATAGAAAATTGAGGAACTCTTCTACAGAGTCTCTCCTAGAATCGCGAGATTCATCCGCCAACCTGGCGAAACTCGCAAAGCCGATCTCCTCAAGTGAAGGATCCAACGCAGTAACAATTACTCACCCCCCAAACAAGATGCATCAAACCAGTTCCAGGTTACTCCGAATGACGAACGATGATCGGCCATTCACAAGGGTAAGTCTTGTTCCTTGCCCCTCCAGCGTGCTCATTATATGCACCTTACCATTGACAACTCTATTCAACGCTAATTAAGGCGTTTCGAGAACAGGATTTCAAGGATTTGTTTTCCACCCTCATGGTCAGTCTGCCACTGAACTCGCACCGGGTTCGTTTCAAGACCTACGCATTCTCATTCACCTCAGAGGAGGCGATCAACAATCTCGGCTCCCTGAAGTTCTCGCAGTCAAATCGGATGCCAGATCCCAAGGACCCATCTCGGATTGTTACCACAACAACCACAACAACATTCTCGATGGCTAAGGAAATGGCTCGCTCTGTGTGTCAGAGGTTCATGGATGCTCGTTTTATCGAGCTTGCTGATTCAAAACCAGTCCAGTACTTTCCTCCAAAGGGCTCCCTATGGCAATTGACCCCGAAAGGGATTCACGTCCTGGAAAGATTCTGCCAGCGGAATGGAATTCAACAGGAGCATGTTGTTAGACTGTTACAGTCACCTTACAATACTATGCGTCTGGTTATTCTCGAGAGAGACTCAATTACCGACAGGTTATCACAGGACAAAACCACCACAGAAGTAATCTTCAGACGGTTTGCCGGATCTACTCCAAACATTAAGGCCAACGTGTCCATCTCGGACTCGGACTCGGTATCGGAGTATCATGATGGGATCACGGGTGTAAAGCTAGCCGAAACGCGGAAGATTTATGATAAAGTGATTAAGAATTCGTTTACCGGGAAGTGCGCGGTGGATTGGTTACTGGATTGCTGTACCACAGTGGAGGCGCGTGAAACCAATGAGATTGCAAGGCTCTTCATTCAGCATGGTCTTATCCAGTCCGTACTAGAGGACAAGGTCTACGTTCATCAAAACCCGGAAGCAAGTCAATTCCAGCCGACCAAGAACGCCATTTATGTATTCACAGACAAAGGTAGAAGGGTTGCAGGGTGGATTGAGTCGGACAGGTTGAGCCTGCAGAGCGGAGAGAGGAATGCTGATGGCTCCCAAAGAGCGAGGTCAAACGTGAGAGCGAGAGACGACCAGTCCCCAAGAGGTAGGCTATCCCCAGTGCCATGTCCAAGAGGATGCATGATTCTAACAGTGTCATAGATCAGCGTGAAACAAACACAACTCGGTTGACTGCTATCCTGAACGACGCTGCGCTACGATTACTGTACCGCGAATTCCTTCGGGAAACTCTTTGCGAGGAGAATCTGGCCTTTTACCTGGATGTTGAAGATTTCAACCACAACTTCCATGCTATTGACCTGTCAAAGCCGGATGCTGTACGTGAAACACTAGCCGCTGCTTATGGTATGTTACACCATCCCGTTGAGATTTACCCCCCTTTACATTTTACCCCGGTCACACGTTTCAGCAATCTCTCTTGGTGACTACCTCATTGAGTCCCAAGTTATGATACCCGATGCAATTCGGCACTCTATTCATATTTTTTTCTATATTTCGGGAATAAATAGCTAATTACCTTCTGTTTAGGTCTTTATAACGCTTTCTTGGCACCAGGCTCCCCCTGCGAGCTTAACATCGACCATACCCTCCGCCAGGACATGGCATCACGCATGACAAGGGCAGTTGCAAAAGATGATGAGTCGATGTATAGCAGCTTGAAGGATGTGCAGACCCTGTTCGACAGGGCACAACAGCAAGTGTTCAAGCTTATGGCAGGAGTAAGTTTCACAGCATACAAAATGACATGTGACTATTTTACTGACTCTCTGGTAATAGGACTCGGTACCTAAGTTTATTCGCACTCATAAATATATCGAGGTTGCAGGCGACATTCTCGAAGATGAGCGAAATGCCCTTTCAGGTGGGGCTCCCGAGAGGACCTTAAGTCGATCAACCAGATACCCAGCCAGCAATGGTGATGTCCCAAGATGACCCCTAGACATTGAATTTTTGTTTTCCTTTTATCCGCTTCTTTTGTCCATTTTGAAAACCCGCGTAGGCGGGAGCTTTAATTAATATTTTTTTTTTCTTTCTCTTTCCTTCTTTCTAGTCTCTCGGGATGAGAAATTTTTAGGTTTTTTCTTTCTTTTTTCTTCATTCGAAACAATTCTCTCCTGGGATTTTAGGGTCATTCAGGAGTTCTTGGGTCATCATTTATCATTTATCATCATCATCTTCATCATCATTCATCATTGGTTGTTTGTGGTTATCATATTCTCCTATGTCGCACGCCTCATGATTCCCTTTTTGTGCAGTAGCAGCAGCATATCAAACTTTTGCTCCGCGTCCATCTTCTTTACGAGTATTTGGCGTGTCCTTTGCGCCCCACACACTCTCTCTTTCCATTTCCGTTTCTTTGGTTTCCCCCTTCTCGTTTTATTCACCCCTCCTTCTCCTTGAGCGGTCGTTGTTGTATGATGTATCAATGAGCTTTCTGAACTTGTGCTTACTACTATTCCCTCGCGAGTGTTTGGTGTTTGCGTTTTTTTTTTTTTTTTGTGTCTGTGTGTTGTACGTGTGTGTATCAAATTAGAAGGCGGTGTTTGGGGGGGGGGGGGGGGGGAGCTGGCCAGACAGTAGGACTTGGAAGAGGGGGGGTTCAGTGCTTAGTTGTGACGGAGAGCGGGGAAGGGGGTTATGAAATTTGTTTATTTTTTCTTTCAAAAAGTGTATGTGAAAAACAACGGGTTTTTTTTGGGGAAAGTTGGGGTTAATAATAGAGGACAAGCTTTTTTTTTTTTTAACGATATTAACTACTCTACATAGTACTACATACTCTTGGTGCGTTTGAATATAGTGATGTGTGAGGTGAGGTGATTATAATTACATAGATGAAAATGAATGCTTGGTTTAATTTGCGGCATTGTATGTATATACTATATATGTATACAAGTCTACTTTTTCCGTTCTGCTCTGTAGCTCCACACCGCGGCCCGTTAGTGAAGTGATATTCAATAGTGTGAGGACGCCGAACCAACTCTATAGTATCCACACACTGTCAAGAAGAGGCATCACTACCGTACCGTACCGTAGTCAGGTACCGGTAGGTAGGTACATTGTATGTAGCATACCGACCCCAACCTTCCAGGCATCAAGGTTGATATATATATAAACCATCTCTACTACTAGTACATCTCCACTGACTGGTACGCACGTCAAGAAAAATCCGTCGCACTGCGGTATTTTTTTTTACACCACAACCTGCTCTTTGACGTTGATCTCTGTCTCTCTACGTAGCTAGCCAGCTAGCTAGGCTCTCTCTCTCTCTCTCTCTCTCTACAATAGACTACTGTACTGTACCGCACCGCACCTCACAGTAGAGTAAAGAATCGAATCCCCCCAAATGCAAATTGCAAAATGCAAATGCAAATGCAAATCCCAACCTAGCTATGAAAAAAAAACTAAAAAAACGCCACCGTACATCCAGCACGTGGTGTCTCCCCTGCGCAACTAACCAACAGGCCGGTCCCATATGATATACCACCCCCCCCCCCCCCCCCCCCCCCCCCCATAATATCATAATATATACACTACGCTACGGGGCCAAGCACCAACCACGCGGTCAGCCAGGGTTCAGCATTGAGAGGACCTAGGGTACAGCCAGTAGACCCCCCCCCCCCCCCCCCAGCACTCACGCCGGGGAATTTCTCCGGCTGGGACAGACCGCTGGGCTGTTTTAGAGACCGGGCCCTAGAGTACATACATGCCATGTGCATGTATCGGTAGGCCAAGGAATATCCTCAAGACGCAACATGAGAAATAAGCTCGACGGCCTTCCCGGCTCTGCAGCTCCTATTATTCCCCTCCCTCTGGACATGATTGCCGTGTTGCGTAGCCGCTACACTGCACTAGGCGTTGGAAATCGTGGTTTCTGATTAGTTAAGACCCTACCTATTATATGTACGCATGGCATATATGGTATGCCGCATTCCTTTCAACGGATCGAGTGATGAGAAAAAGTTCTTGGGGCTTGGGTTGGGTTGCTCGCTGTGTGCTGTAGGAGTATGTCTTTATGTAACTTGGTTTCACATCATCGGTTGATTTCTTGTGATCAAGAAATTCGAGTGAGTTTGACCCTGATTCAGAGTAGCAATGCCCTTCCTGGATAAATATTTGTCATAGGAATTCGGCATTCTTCTTGTACGTGCAGTTTGTGAAATACATGATGTATGAGTGCAATTTGTGAAATACATGATGTATGAGATTTCCATCTCTCTGTGGACCCTGCCCTTAACCTCTTTTTATGATTTTTTCTTTTCTTTCTTGCGGGAATAAATAGGTAGGGCTAGGGTAGAAGAAGTTGGTCTGGACTCTCCAGTGGTGTTTATACTAACCGACGATGCATTTGCGGGGCCAAGATGGGGGCCGGGGAGGGGGGGGCCACGCCCTAGCTAGCGGTCAGTGATCATGATGTGAGGAGGGATCTTCGCGACTTCACTCGCACTAATCAATAGCGTTCTGCATCAGTCGCATCTCCGGACTCCGGCCTGCGTAATTATAAAATTATCGAGTCTGAATTATATCGAAGCATCTCCACGGGCACTATTCCAGAGGCAGCATGTGCATGATAACTACTTCCTAATTCCTATCCTTTCCAGCAGTAGCACCAGGAAAAACCTTTGTGGATGCCCATAGCTTTTTGACACCGCTTGTGCCTCCAATTCGGGAGGGCTTCGTTACTGGTTCACAGAGCTCTTCCATGTCGGTGCGTTTCAGGTGTTTTTTCTAATGACAAGTGGGGCCCGCTGAACTGTCGACTCAAGAGATCTCTCAAGTACCCATTTCATCAAGGCCTACATGTTGCAAGTCGTTAGTACACGGACTGTAATTCCGGAGGCCTCTTGGTAGCTCATACTACTAGTAGTAATATTCGTATTTACGGCCGTCGGTAATTGAAGTCGGCGGAGGAGGGCAAAAGAGAGGGGATTATCAACGTAGTGTAATCGATTCGTCCATGATGTCTGTTAAGAAAAATAGGGGTATGTGCCCCACCACCAAAAAGCCCACAATAATTATTTTCTGACCAGTATTCAAAAGAATCAATAGACAAACCACCACATATGCAGTGTAGGTTGGATATAGAGCTGAATGCCTGGTTTCCTGGTGGCACAGTGGGATTCTCATGTGTCAGTTTATTAGGTAAAGAGCCACTGAGCCTCTCCGATTGGTCTCACCCCACCGCGTCGCTTTTTGCAAGCCGATATGGGGAAATCTTGTTTCTGCGGTAACAATAGTGGGTGCTAGTGGAGCTGGATTACTAACCTAGATATATCGTATGCGTCTATACCCCCCCCCCCCCCCATGCAGGGACCACGGAGTGCCGGAGAGGCCGATACCGCCATCTGGGGGCTGCTTGGCTAAGCTCCCCTTGTCACCTGTCATATCACCCGTCATATAAGGTATTGGACGGAGGATTGTACCCTTGGAATGCCGTTGTCATCTACCCGGTATAATTCCAATGCACCAATGGCCTGTGGGGAAGCTGCTGGCACATATGCAAGCAGGTACTCCACTGGCTGGCTTGGTGAAACCGTTTCATGTTTCACGGCTCCCATCCAAGGGGAGGGTATCAATGGTTGTGGGGCCCGGGTGCATCTCTAAATTGACGAAGTGGAGCCAACAACGGGAGGCAAGGAATGGCCTGGAAGATGGTGAAGTGGGGCTTAGTGCTGATCATTCATAACGGGGATCATGATTAAGCTTTTTATGATGGTCACATAACCTTCGTGGGGGGCGGATGCATTGATGATGGAGATGGAGGAGGATGAGGCAGATAGCAGTGGTTAAATACTCTTGTTAATTTGATGACAAGTTTTCACATATTTACGTTTGTGTGTTTATCTACCGGACAACTCTGGTCTCTCGACCTCACCGAGCGAGGATGAAGGACAGTTGACAACCAACGACAACTTGTTCTTTTCATGTAAACGTGTGCATGGTAACGTCTCTTGACACTCTCTTCGAAGAAACCAGAAGACAGATTAGATTGCCAACTGACAATTGCATAGGAAACAAGACAAGATATAGCTGTAACTGCATGTGCACACCTACCTGTGCAACTTTAAACATGCAAGAGCACAGAGGGTTCAAACCCACACAGCCTATCGGGCGACATCTCCATCCATGGCCATACAAGCTAGCACATGCCCATCGATGGATCTCATGGCCAGTAACTACGCCGCCGGTATACCAAGAAGAGAAGTAATAAGCCACCAGGTTCATCTGGATCCTAGTTTATAACTTGGTAACTCTACCTTTCCTTTCACAACGCCCTGTTTTGTAAAGATTGTCCCCAAGATGTCGATATATGCTGCGGCGCTATGAGTACTTCCACTTCTGCGCCAACACCAATTGATTCTCATGCGTGATGTTTAGCGCCTCAAAGCGACATTGTCCCCTAGCTTGACTCCCCGATCCAGCCGTCAAGAGGCCCGCCTCACATTCCCGTGCAAAGAGAAAACACGAGCGGACCAGAAACGCCCCCCAGAAACAGCCGTTCCCAAACGCTCATCTCCCCGCCGCAATTCCGATCTCCAAATCTCACTCGGCCCACGCCAAGCCCACCCAACCCTAACCCTGCACCTCCATCCAGCTGTTTCTCAAAAGCAAAGCTCAACACCACAGAAGTCCCCAGAAAAGCACCAGTCCGACTTTCATCTCCACAACCCTAACATAACGCCCGCACGCCACACACAGAAACAGCCATAGATGCCGCCGAAGCGCAAGACACCCGGCACCGCCGCCCAGCCGTCCTCGTCGAAGCGGGTGCGAATCGCCTCGGGCACGCCGCCGCCCCCAACGCGTACGCGGTCCCCGGGGGAGGAGACGGAGCGCCAGGACGAGAACGGGGATGGGGAAGCCGGCACACGACCGCCGGCGACTGCAGAGGCTGGCAGCGGTAGGAGGGCGCCCGGGAGACCGCGGCGGAACACACTGGAGGCGCCGCCACAGACACCGGCAGCCCCGTCCACGCCCAGAGCCGGAGGAGCCAGCAGCGGCCGCCGCAAGACCCCCGCCACGACGCGGAAGAGCCGGTCTGCCGCCGCTCCAGCTCCAGAAGCAGCAGCCCCGGCCGAGAACCCGCCCGCCGACACAGCAGCAGCAGCAGCAGCGGAAGCAGAGGGAGAAGGAGAAGACGACGCCGCCGCCGCCGCCCTCCCCCTCCCCCTCCCGCCCGCCGCCGCCAGCGACGGCGGCGACGCCCCCTCCTCCGACGAGCTCTCCCAATCGCAGTCGCAGCGCGTCAACCCCACGCCCAAGCGCCGCCCCAAGCCGCGCATCACCTACAAGTCGCGGCGCACGTCCGTCGGCGAGTCCGACTCCGACCCGCTCACGCGCTCCTCGCCGCACACCACGCGCTCGTCGCCCATCAAGGTCGCCGCCAAGGCCGTCGACCTGCCCACGACGCCCGCGACCACGGTGAAGCCGCGCTCGAAGCCGCCGCGCGCGCGCAAGAAGGATGCGCCGCGCGCGGACGCGCTGCCGGCGGAGGAGGACGGCACGCCGAGTGCGGCGGTGCGCGCTGCTGCGAGGGGCGGGTATGGGAGTGTGCATGAGACGGATGCGGAGGGGGAGGACGAGGACATTGCGGTTGAAGTCGAGGTGGTGGTCGAGGAGGAGGTGGACCCCGACGAGGACGTTGTCGGCGGGGATGGACGGATCGCCGCGGCGCCACCAGCAACCGTGCAGAAGGACCGGGAGAGGGAGAAGGCTTCTCGGCGGCGCTCGATGCCGACGCCGGCGAAGAAGACGGTGGAGCTGGACGGGATGGAGGATCCGTTCGCGATCGACGACGACGAGCCGCGGAAGACGCCCGAGAAGAAGCAGCAGCAGAACGGCGGTGGCGCGGCGGCAAAGAGGTTTGACCAGGCGGCGATGAAGGCGCTGAAGAAGCACCTGCTGCCCAAGCTGATGGGGCGCGAGCGCGTCAAGCTCGTGGGCGTGGAGGAGGAGGAGGCGCATGTGCGGAATCTCCTGGAGCAGACGGTCACTGCGGGGGAGGGGAACTCGATGTTGATCATTGGCGCGCGCGGCAGCGGCAAGACTACGGTAAGCACACACAAAACACCTGCCTCTCTGATCATTTCCCGCACATCTCAATCATTGGCTACAATATACACTGCTATATTACTATATTACTATTATTATATACGCAAAGCTAACCGCACCGCCCTCCCCCCGCACAGCTCGTCGAAAGCGCCATCGCCGACCTGAAACTCCAGCGCCCCCACGACTTCCACACCGTCCGCCTCACCGGCTTCCACCAAACCGACGACCGCCTCGCGCTGCGCGAGATCCTGCGCCAACTCGGGCACGAGATGGCCCTCCCCGCCGCGGACACGCCCAAGACCTCCTTCGCCGACACCCTGACCACCATTCTCGCCATGCTCTCGCACCCCGACGACCTCGGCGCCACCACCCCCACCAGCACCAGCACCAGCACCCCGCACGCCTCCCCCGCCCCGCCCAAAACCTCCCTCAGCGTCATCTTCCTCCTCGACGAATTCGACCTCTTCACCACGCACCCGCGCCAAACCCTGCTCTACAACCTCTTCGACATCGCGCAGTCGCGCAGCGCCCCCATCGCCGTCATCGGCACCACAACCCACCTCACAATCACCCACTCCCTCGAGAAGCGCGTCAAGTCCCGCTTCTCGCAGCGCACGCTCCACCTCCACCCGCCCGCCACCCTGTCCGCATTCTGGGAGCGCGTCCGCCCCTCCCTGGCCGCCGACACAGCGTCCACCTACAACCCGCCGGCCGTCTACAAGCACTGGAACACCCACCTCGACGCCCTCCACGCAACCCCCGCCTTCCAGGCGCACCTCCGCCGCGCGTTCGCGCGCTCCGCGTCCGTGCGCGCGTTCCTCAACGAGTGCATCCTCCCCGTCTCGGCCTTGCCCACGGCCGCCACGCTCCCCGGTGCCGCCGCGTTCGCGCCGGCGCTCGCCGAGCCGGACAGCATCCTGGGCGTGCTGTCGGGGCTGAGTGATCTTGAGCTGTCGCTGCTGATTGCCGCGGCACGGCTGGACGTCGTGAGTGATACCGACACGTGCAATTTCTCGATGGCGTACAGCGAGTATGCGGGGCTGGTTGGGGGGGTTAAGGTTGCTGCGGCGGCGGCGGGGGTGGTGGCGGGCCGGGTGTGGGGGAGGGAGGTGGCGCGGGGGGCGTGGGAGCGGTTGGCGGAGTATGGGTTGTTGACGGCGGTGGGGAAGGGGGGGGCGGGGGCGGAGGGGATGTGGAGGGTTGAGGTTGGGTTGGGGGAGATTGGGGGGGTTGTGGAGAGGGGGGGCGCGGGGGGCGGGAGGGGGGGGTTGGGGAGGTGGTGTAGGGAGGTTTAGGGAGAGGGAGAGTGGTGGGGAGGAAGTAATGGTATAGTCATGATTGGATTGGATTGCATCACGGTGTGAGGTTTTTCTTCTTTCTGCTTTCTTGTGTTTCTTTATTTTGGCCTTGTTTTGCGTTTCTCCTGTTTCGTTAGGTTTAGATAGGTTGTTTAGTTTTAACGCAGCGTGATCATTGGCATCTCAAGTCCTAGTCAATCGCTGTCCTCCCAAACCAGTCTGAATGAGCTAATTTGTATATGAGCAGCACAACCATTCCATTTCGTCTTCCTCAAAACTCCTCTTTAAAGTATTAAAATAACCAATCCAGGCTGCCGAAACAGAGTCTGATCAAAAGAAGGTTCTACTTAACTGCATCTACATGTATGCACCTTTCCGCTCCGTTTCAATGTACGGACGGACCCACCCAAAATTGCACACCCAACAATTGCAAACAAAGTTTCAAACCCCAACTCCGCGTTGTCACGATACCGCCCACTTTAATGTCTTGGCACCGCACCCATCACGTCGCGTCTCCCCAAGCTTCGCGCCCATTCTCAACACCTCCAAAACCCACCATCTCCAGCTCCACCTTCAAAACACCACCCTAAAACACCCCGCCCACCACAATGCCCCGCAGCACACGCCAAAGCACAAAAACCACCCCGACCTCTTTCACCTCGCTCCCGTACCCCCCCCCCCCCCAAATCAAAATCCGCCCGCAACTCCCTCCTCCTCCGCCACCTCCTCCCCCCCCTCCTTCGCCACGCAACCCCGCAACTCCACTACTAAACCCACTAAACCACGCAACTCGACCACCAAGCCCCGCGCACTCACGACCAAGCCCAAAGCACCCACCAAACCCCGCCCCCGCGCACCAATGCACAGATTCACCGTCCGCTGCACCGCCGCCAGCCCGACCTGCCAGAAGGACTTCCACAGGAGCACGCATAAGGCCGCGCGTGCGGCGATGTTGAGGCATCTTTGGCGGTATGGGATGAGGTCGAGGGAGCGGAGGAGGCTCGCGGAGGATGATAACGAGGATGATGATGATGATGATGAGGAGGAGGAGGAGGAGGAGGAGGAGGAGGAGGAGGAGGAGGAGGAGAGGGGTATTAAGAAGGAAAAGGGTATCAAGAAGGAAATGGGTATCAAGAAGGAAAAGGATATCAAGAAGGAGAAGGGCACCAAGCAGCAGGATAGTGTTGTCGTAAAAGCAGAGCCGGAGGATGAAGGCGTTGTTGTCATCAAAGACGAACCAGAAGAAGAGACCACAGGACTAAAAGAAGAGAGCTCCGATGAAGAAGAAGAAGAGGAGGAGGAGGAGGAGCACAAGGAAGAAGAGAGCGACGCGGAGGAGTCTGATCGCGGGAGTGAAGACGAAGACGAAGAAACAGAGGCCACGGACTGGCAATTGCAAGAAGACCAGATGCCACAGAGCCCTATAAGTAGAGCTGAGCGCCTCGCCTCTGAGAAAGAGGAGAAACGGCTACAGAAGATTGCCTTTGACGATGCGCACCTTGACGCCTACGACGCAGATCCGAAGGAGGATTATGATAGCAAGTTCCATGCCCTGGCCCCATTGATGGCTCTAACATATATTGCAGCTGAGGCCGAAGAGCGTAAAAAGGTTAAACGCGATGCAAAACGGGACCTTAAGAAACTTAGTCGTAGGTTGGGAAGGTAGTGTCTTGACAAATTAATAGGCGATCACGATGGATCACTCGCCCTTTCTGCTTAGTCCCCAACTTTGATTGTGTGGGCACGTAGACTTTAGCTCTCTAGAACAGTAATCTAATAAAATTTCTACTTCAATGGAAGAGCAATGAACCTACTCAGTATGGCGTAGCATGTAGTCTACTCTCTTCTAGCGCTCATTCTGCCCGCCCCCAGCTCATTCTATGTTCGTACCTCCACTCCGCCCACGCCCACACCACCTTCCCACCCACAATGCCTCTCCAATTCTCATATTCCGATCCTCCCATCCCATCTAATCCACCTCTGATCTCACTACCCCACCAAGCCCCACCTCTCCCCTTAAAAGCCATAAAGTCTTCCTTCCATCCAAACCCACCCACACCACCCACACCACCCACTCACCCCACCCACACCAACCCATCCAACTTCTTGATCAACTCAAACCAAAAGAGCAACTCCCACTGCTGCCATGTCCACCCGAACACGCCGTAAGCGGCGTACCCGCAGCGAATCGCCCGCCCGCGATGTGAACCCCAGGGTCAGAGACCGAGAGGACCACGCGGTCGCCGAAAATGCGTACTTTACTGAAAGTGATCGGTTCGTATTTAGACCCCCTCTGCTTTCCACCTGTTCCCGCCTTATTCATCTTCTCTATCTCGCACCTATGAAGCCGTCCGCGTGAGATGGGAAACAAGACTATGGCAGCTGCGGCCATAGCTTCTTCTTTCTCCTACTATCACCGCTCTTTTTCTTTCATCTCATCATGCCCCCACTAACACACCAACAGCTCCTTGGGGGTCCGCTCATCCTCCGACGAGACCGCCGCCTCAGAGCCAAGCATAACACCCGAAAACCCACCAGATGGCCCCCGCTCAATGCACTGGCAGCACGAACTCACGCCCGAGCCAGAAGAATATGCACCCAGACAGGAAAGAGGCCACTACAATGTTTCGATACCTAGGCCGCCAGCTGCCCCTCGAGCAATGTTACCCCATGAGCGCTCTTACAACGCCCCTACGACAGCTGCTAATATACCACCTGCTGCCCCGCGAGCACCATACCAAGGTTTTTACGGCTCCTCTACGGTAGCTGCCAGTGTACCATCAACTGAGCCGCGAGGGGTATTGCCCCACCAACGTGCTTATAGTCTTCCTAATGCAAGTATCAATGGGCCGTCACCTGCCCCGCGAGGGGTATTGCCCCACCAAAGTGCCTACAACCCCCCGAATGCAGGTATCAATGGGCCACGAAGTGTCCCACGAGCGATGCCTGGTGTCGATGCACCGCCAACTGCCCCGCAAGGGATGTTACCCCACCAAAGCACGTACAATCCTCCCAATACAGGTATAAATGGGCTGTCAACGAGACCGCGAGCAGTATTACCCCACCAAAGTACTTTCAACCCCCCCAATACGGGCATCAATGGTCCGACAACTGCGGCACTACCACAACGTCCTAGAGCAAATACTCCAGTCTCTAACAGCCCTCCCACCACAGCATATGATATTGTTACAGGTATCAATGGACCGCTGGCTGGCCTTCGAGGGCCGTTACCCCATCAAAGTGCTTATAGCCCCCCTAATGTAGGCATCAATGGACCATCAACAGCCCGTGCGGCACCAGCGCAACGTCTTAGAGCAGTGACTCCAGTCTCTAGCGACAATCCCATAGCTTCTATTGCAAATAGTATCCATAATCCGCAATATAGTGCTCAAGCTGTTCCTGCTACTAGCGGCAATGCTTCTGCTCGTGGTCTACATGGTCCGCATGGTGGAAACAGCATTCATGCTGCCCATGATTTGCAGGCATTGCGTAGTGAAGATGAGGCGAATGTCGCTCGCGCTCAAAATTTCGTTGCAAATAATTTTAACGGTCGAGAGAACGACCAAGGGAGCGGTCAAGGGAATAGCCATAATATTCAAAGAAATCAACCACAGAGTGTCGCTAGAGAGAGTCGAGTTGCACATGGCCGTGGCCCATATGATAGGAATGGTCCGGCAGTAGATTTTGGTAAGTTAAGCTTCGGGAGTGGTATGAGTTAATCTAATTGATTATTGTCTAGATGACCATAGGGATGGTAGGGCTCGTGATCTGAGACGGAATAGAGATGGCGGGGTTCATGATCAGAGAAATAATAGGGGCAACGGTGGCGATTACTCCAGAGACTTTCGTGGCAATAACAACAATTTGACTCCAAGGGTAGTTGGGGCAGATGGAGAACTTCCGGAAAAAGTTTCAAATACTATAAATGGAAAGACCCTTAAGCTAGTAAGTCTCTAGATTCTTAATACCGGCCTAAATGACTGATTGAAATACCAGCCAACTCGTAGGCTCGAGAACACCAGTAGTCATTCAAGAATCACAGTATTCACAAATCACTTTGAAGTTAAATCGCTTCCATGCATCGATATTTTCCAATATGATGTAAGTTTTTTTTTAAACAGGCCCTTGCAGTGGATGTTGGCAAAGCTCACAAATACAAATAGATCCGGGTTACTGGCGATCCAAGGAGGTCTGGCGGATATTTGGACGAATCCGAGATTCAACAATGCTCTCCGAGTATGGTAAGAAAGGTCATGGAGAATCCAGAGATAAAAAATATTCTTGGGCATGGCTTTGTCTTTGATGGTGTCTCCATTGGATGGTCAACAGACAAGCTACCATTTCCCGTTGACCCCTTTAGATATCGCCTTGAACTCCCAGGATCCCGCCCGGGAAGAAAGTTTGGCTGTAACATCGACATCAGCTGCACTGGAAAACTTAGTACAGACCCATTTATTAAATGGCTTCTCAACGATAGTTGTCGAACCACTTCACTAGATGATGTCGCTGATTTCAGCAAGGAAGATCAGATTGAAATCTGCTTGAAATTTCTGAATGCTCTTCTACGTGCCGATCCATCAAAAAGATTTATGAGTGGCCATGGCAATAAATCAACAGCATATTTCCATCGTACGCCAGAAACAACATCAAGTCTCACATCCGCTAACCGGGTTCTCGAAGCCTGGCGCGGCTTCTATCAAAATATCGCTGTACGCTTTGGGAAACTCACTGTCAATGTGGATACCATAACTGCAACATTCATCAAACCTGGTATCATCTTTTTAGATGCGATTTGTGGTTTAGCAAATATAAATATACTGCATGCTGAAGACGTATACCACGCAGAGCCCCAGAGACTGAGGGAGATTGTGAGGAAGTTTATTGGAGTTGGATTCAGAATTAGACACATAAAGGAAGGTCCAAAGAAGGACCTGGTGAGGCGCGTTATGAGACTAACTGAGCATGGCGCATCCAGAGAGATGTTTAGTAAGAGAAGATTTGACATAGATCCAGTTACCGGCGAGGAAACAATGACGATGGAGTCAATAAGTGTTGAAGATTACTACAGACAACAGTATAACATGATTCTGAGATTCCCACAACTACCTATGGTTGTATGCAGAAAGGAGGGGAAGTATCCGTTAGAGTTATGTTATGTTGCTGATGGTGAGCGCTGGACCGAGGCCCTCAAAGGTAAACATACTTCAGATTTTATCAAGTTCGCAACTGCACCGCCACCCGCCCGCAAAGAGCAGATCTGGGAGAATGTGAAGGTAATTGGTTGGCATAAGCAGCGTGTACTCAAGGAGTTTGGGGTGTCGGTAAACCCGGCGTTCATGCAAGTCGAGGCGAACGTTTTGAAACCTGTGATTCCTATCTACCAAAGAGGAACCGAAATCAATGGACTAAGGGTTCCGGGACGTTGGAATTTAGATCGTAAAATATTCTATCAAGTAAGACTCCCGAACGCAACAAAACTATGAATCAAGCTCACGATGGAAACGTTAGGCGCAATCGGTCACTCAATGGGGTCTAATCTACTTTCCCGGTGCTCCACGCACTCGTAGGAGCGATCATGAGCTTAGGAGACTTACCACAACGTGCTCCATAGAATTCAGGAAATACGGAATCCAGATGCCCTCAGGCCCAATTTTAACCAGTGTCTGTGACCCGCAGGGGGACATACCCAAACTTATTCTCGAACTTCTCGTAAAAATCCAGACCCAGACAAGGGCCCGACCAAATCTGTTAGTTTTTCTGCTTGAGTTTGAACAGAAAGATCTATATGCACAAATAAAGCGGATTTGCGATACAAAATTGGGTATTGCATCGCAATGTATGCTTGCTGACATGGCCATTAAAGAGGAAGGTGACAGAGGTGCAGGGCAATATTTTGGAAATGTCGCGATGAAGATCAACATTAAATTAGGTGGAATAAACGCAATGATTGAGGACCCAATTCTCAATGGTATGCCCACCCTTCTGATTGGTTGCGAGGCGTCATACCCAAATCCTTCTCAACTTCGACTGATTCCGCCGCCACCGGCGTTTGTCGCGCTTTCGGCAAATTATGATTTGCATTGCGCACAGTTCAGTGCGGTGACTGATTCACAAGACCCTTTGGACCAAAAGATCGTTCACTTCAGGCCGATGGCACAGGAACTCTTTAACCGCTACAAAGTACAGACCTCACGCGATCCAGAAAGAATCATTTATTTCCGCGACGGACTTTCTGAAGGAGGATATGGGTCGGAATTGAGGACCGAACTTGAGGAGCTCAAGAAAATTACCAACGCCCCTATCACTGTGGTGCTTTGCATTAAGCGCCATCATACACGTTTCTTCCCAGGCCCCGGAGAGAAGAGCGACAGATCTGGAAACGTAGTCCCTGGAACCGTTGTTGAGAACGGAAATGGGAAGGATATCTTTCTTGTTGCTCATATTGCTCTTAAAGGGACCGTTCGTCCTACTCGTTATGTGGCAGTCTATGATGACAATAAGCTCAGTGCCCGTCAATTCCAAGAGCTCTGTAACAACCTTTGTTACGGGTATGGCAGAGCTACTATGGCAGTAAGCATGGGTACGTATAGCCCTCTTTTATCAAGTGACCATTGCCAATCGTTAAATACCTCTAGTTCCGCCGGTTTATTATGCACGCCTCGCCTGTGAACGTGCCCGTTTACACATAGAAAATAATGTGAAACTCGATGGATCACCGGGGATGTCTACATTACCCCAAACCCATAGAAATATACAATACTCCATGGTATTCCCATCCCTATATACCAAGTCTTTACTCCGTATTTTAGCTAACATCATCTCCGCACAGTGGTGGCAATGATTTCTTACACATATACGCGGTTCTTTGATAATCATTTGTAACAAGTGTACGTGGTACGTTGTACGGAGTGGGATCATTTCTTTGCCGTAGAAGTAGAATTGTTATTAAATATGCTACTTTAGAGAGTCTACGTCTTTTTATCCTGTCCTTCATATATGTGATCCCTCCACATCTTAAGTAATCAATCAACCAATCAATCCCTCCACATCTTGAATTTGCTAGCCACGTGACCTATAGACCGAGTGCTAGCTCATGATGCAGCTTGCCTACTAATTTCACGCTAGCCATATCTGAAAAAACGAATAATATGGCCAAGCCCGGGGTCAAATGTCCCAACTAGCTTCTTAACGACTGTCACAGTCTTGAACTAGTACTTCATCACTGTAATCATCCCACTACTCCATCCACTCTCTCTACCTCAGCTACCAGTCTTCTTCCTGTCATTACCTTCAAATTCCGCTACAATCTCAATCCTGTCATCGACACCTATTGCAGTCACAGGGCCGCCCGAGATATATAAAAACCATGGATACCACCGCAATCGCACAAAACCTTATCGTCCTCGGCGCAGGGAAAGTGAAGACCAAACAAGAACACCTCAACCACTCCACCGGGAATATCTTGTTCATCCTCGGCATTCTTGGCACAATCTCCTTGAACGTCTGGATGACCCGTGGCATCCACAACTTCAGAGAGGTGACAACTTGCTGTTCCTGTAAGTTCAACAACCCTGATGCTGGGGGTTTTGCCGCTAACGAAGCGCACAGTGGCTATCGGGATGACTTTTCTAACGGTCCTCTACTTCATCATGGGGAATGTATTGATTAATGGCGGGCTTGGGATGAATAAAGATGAAGTGATGTGTACTACTATTTCCAAGACGATGATGAGTGCCTACTTCTTGATGAAGGTGTACATGGGGTTTTTCTTTTTCAAGAAGGCTAGCTCCCCCTTATTCTCCCTCTTTCCACCCCGAAGACGTAGAGGTGCTAAAACTGTCGAATCAGCTCCGTGAGATTGTAAACATGGTGTCAAAAGGCCATACCCGTACGAGCAAACGGATTAGTGCAAAAGGCTCCTTCTACTACGTCTTCACCCCCATACTCCTCGTCTTCCTAGCCTGCGGCCTCTTCTCAGTCCTCAGGTATCCCCCTCACCCACACTTTCCCCCTCCACCCTCAAAGGCTAACCAAACACCAAACACACCACAGCGTCGAAACCTACCTCAAGCTGCGCGACATTCCGCGCCCTGGAAAAAAGACCTATTGCGTCTTCACCATCTCGTACTCCTACATGATCGTCCCCTTCTTTGTCCTCCTCACTATCGGCACCGTAGCGACCTTCGCCATCTCCTTCCTCTGCTCCTCGCCCCTTTTCTCCCGCAACATACGCAACCACCCCGGCTCTCCCGCCGCGGGCATGGCCGCACTCCTCAGCGCCGTCATCCCCTTTATCAGCGGCGCCTGCTTCATCGGCAAAGGTGGGAGGGAGACAGCATCGCTGACGAACTTAGCATGGGCGGTGGACGTGATGGTGATGCACGTGCTTGTGTGGGCCGCGGAGGGACAGTGGAACTTGGCGAGCACGGAGATGAGGTCGAAGGTGTGTAAGTGCGTTCGACTGCCGAGCCAGATAGTGGGTGGAAGGAGTATTGAGGATAGGAAGGAGAGGATTATGGAGGTGAGGGAGTTGCACAGGGCGATGGAGATGGAGGAGAAGATGTTGCTGAGGGATGAGGAAGATGATGAGGTGTTCGAGATTATCAACCTTGGGGGTGAGAATGAATCGGGTTTGGGCCATGGGTCTTATGAAGAGAAAGAGGGCTCTCCAAGCCCCTTGAGACCTTACTTGAGTTCGCTGGTTAGTCAGAAGAAGGTTGAGAAGGAATACACGCCGACCTGGGTTTGAGTTCACCAGATATCCCCACCTTTTTCTATATACGTATGCTCAATCCCCCCCTTTTTTTTCTCTTTTCTTTTTCAATAATAGTATACATATAGGCGCCTTATAGTTGTGTTTTTTACGGTTTTGTGTATGAATATGAAGATTTAACAATTAGCTGCCAGAACATAACTGCTTGGATTTTTACGACCGCTCAAGATTATTATTCCATACACACTTGTGTAAGTAGTATATCATCCTACAAAGACCGAATGTGAAGGTGGTCGAGAACGTTATATAGTGTGCGAATTATCGTGGCAACATAACAATAGCTACGCTACATCTGTCTTATATTCAAACCCAATCCTGAAAAATCTATTCCACACGTATAGGGATCTTCAAGTAGCATCTTTCAATTTCATCATATATTGGTCAAATAAAATTTATCAAACTCGAGTACATGTACTCAACTCAAGTGCATGCAGGTACATGTACTTGTACGTCATCGACAACTAGCGCAGCCGGTATATACATACAACTATTCACATGACATGGTAATAAATAATATCTGAGTCAACAATATTATATAATTGCAATGTAACATCTGGGTACAAAGACTGGTATAGCACCAGAAACCCGGGTATACAACCTGATCTGAAGAAGCAGAGATTTCCCCCCCGATATGTACCCCTCTTTCCAATTGATTGCCACTCACTCTCGTGCACCCGCTTTTCGAGTGAGACGATTTCTTTGAATTCGTATTCCATCCAAGTACAATAACTTCTGCTCTATCAAGCTTACCTCCCCACCATTTCTCCCCTTGGTGGGAAGATCCGTCCATAGGAACAGGTTAGTCTCAGGTCAGTAATCATATGTTAAGGGCTGAAGGTGAATTTTTTTCTGATCCTGAATCTGCAGAAGTTCGAAGGCTTTCGATGGAACTCTGTAGTCCCGTCGTTTGGCCACCAACGCGTAAACTGATTATATATCTGCGGGCTACTCCAATAGGCCAAACTCGCGAAGTCAATCCAACCAAGCCCCAATCCATAAATCCATAGCTATGATTTTATGCACGTAGCTACTCGCGCGTTCATTTGGTCCCGTCGAGCCTTATGGTTGTATTATAACGATATACATGTATTATCCGGCGATAAACACCACAGAATTCAGTCCAATATGCATAAGTCCCCAGAGTTTACTTATGTCACGCCTCAAAGGGTTAAACTATCAAAACCACTTAGGGCAGACAGCTCAATGCCCGAGCCTTGCACAACGGGCCTAGGCCTTAATCCGACCAGGTACTCAAAGGCAAGATCTAAACACTTGAAACCCCACAAACACAAAGCAGAAATCTTCTCAGCTCCTACGAGTGGAATATCTTGCTTGCGCTTTCCATGCGTTCTCTGCCGTGTAGGGTTAGGGTTGGCCTTGGCACCGTATGCTGGCTCGAACAGCCATCCCAGCCTTGCTTCCCGCACATGCATCCATCCAATGAACACTTCCAGGGCAGTGAAACTATGAAGTTGACATGTCACCTACATTTGGACGATCCTCTTCTTTTCTAATTATATCTAGTAGTGACAACCACAAGAAAGTGCAATTGGGTGCGACTCAGCTGATCGGGGCATCGGGCAATGTTCGTGGCAGGTAAGTACATACACTTTTTCTTGTTCTACGAAGCCTCCCTCCTTTCAATTGATCACATCTGCAGCCTTTGGTGTCAATATGTGGTAGATACTTGGATCGAGAGACTCATGGCGTAATAAAATCCCCTACCGTTGCTGTTGAGGAAGTACTTTAGTTGAGGCTGCATGAAATCAATAGTCCGAACGGACCATACGTAGAGTACGTACGCTTTCTGCACATCTTGATGTACTACATTCGGAGTTATAAGTTTCTTCACCACGGTATATGCCGGTTGGCTGCGGAAGATGGACTGTAATTTCTTGGCTGCGGAATTGCATTTATTCAATTCGACACGATACAATTCAATCGCTAACTACAAAATAAAAGAAGAAAAAAAGGAGTGTAAACACCAAAACCCCCGGGGAAAAGGAAAGAAATACAAGGAATATGAACCCCCCTCATAATCATCAGACATCATCGCATCATACCCGCTCTACAAGAACTGCATAACCATCAATCCGGCCACAAGAGGTAACCCAACGGTCATCTCCCAGTTGGAGATTCCGCTCTTGCCAGCAGCATTCACTGTTTGCTGGGCCACGACCGCGGTATCAGTTGGGGTTCCGGAGGCATTGGCGTCGGCGGCGACCGTGCCCGTGGGCACAGGAGAGGTAACGAAGCCAGAGGCACTATCAGTAAAGACAGGTGAATCGATAGCAGCGGGAGAGTCGGTAGCGGTGGGTGCATCAGTGGCAGCAGGTGCATCAGTGGCATCAGGAGCACCGGTGGCATCAGGAGCACCGGTGGCATCAGGAGCACCGGTGGCATCATCAGGAGCACCGGTGGCATCAGGAGCATCCGTGGCATCAAGAGCATCGGTGGCATCAATAGCCTGTTCAGCTGTAGCATCCGAAGAAGAAGCAGAAGGGGTCGCCTCTACGGTACCTGTAGGAAAAGAAATATCAGAACAACGATTCAGAATGTGGAGTAGATCAGAATTTCGCACCGTTAGCCTTCATTTGTGCGCAGGTGTTTGCAAATCTCGAAACAGCAACGGCGAACTGGGTGATATCCGTTTCCGGGCAGCCATCCTTCATGCATTTGTACGAGCCCTCGTACAGTCCAATTACGGTGGAATTAGTGACATCAGGCTCTGGGGTAGCGCATAGACACTTTAAGTCCACCGTGTCACTAGAATATCAAACTATGTCAGCATATTATGGGAGGGTTTAGGGCGATATAGGGGGATCAAAGATTACCCGCAAGTACTCTCGGTCTCGTAGTAATTTACGAGCCACTCCCAGCATCCAATCGTGCATTCGGGGAGGTCATTGGTATATTCATCCACACTGGTGTAAATATCGCAATCCTCTTGGGCGGCGGTGAGACTAAAGAGCGAGAGTGCTGTAACAGCAGAGATGAGTGTAGAGTATCTCATGTTGATGATTTTAGTTGTTGTTTGAAAGTGCTAGTGTGTTGTGAGGTTGTTGTGATATCTGATGGTGATTTAACTTTGATTTTGTGGGGGGAGGAATGGAGCTATTTATCTATTTCTCCAAGGAAGGTGGGGTGCTAATGATAAAGAATAGATAGCTACAATAGTCACCTCCCGATTCTAATGTAGACGATCTACATACTCTGGAGTAGGAAAAATTACCTACCATGAGAAAAGAAAAAAATAGTGCACTTCTGAACAAGACACGCAAACGCACCTCAAGGCAGAGTGGATCGATTGATAGGCGCAATGCCCAGCTTTCAAGCCTTCTTTGCTTTTCCGATGACGATTAGTGCGGACGAGAGGAGCCAGTACGTACGCACGCTCTACGGCTGAGGGACGAGAGGCAGGCTGTGGTAAGTAATCCCTCAAGGCAGTCGTTCTACTTCTCAAAAGGTGAGAAGGCTAGCTAAGTAGGTATTAAGCCCAACCTCTGTTGACGATAAACACGATTTCGTGCCCTGCCACCTGTTTTCTTCACCACAATACATACGTACTGCGAGCCTCTACTATACGGACGAATACGAGGTGGAACATCCGCTGATGTTGATAGGCTTGGCTTAACACAAAGCATTAAGTACTCTTTGAACACCCATCGACCTATGTACGTATGTACTCGCGCGGGCGCCCAAGAAAACTGTGGTGGATGATAATCTGGTAGCCTATTAGTGCAATTTTGCAATTGCCTTTTTTGTTTGGGCGGCTTCACTCCGACAACACGAGGCATGTATGTAGAATACCTACTCTAGAGTACTCCAAGAAGTACATACTCTACCTTCAAATCGAGAGGCGATGCGAATGCATATGTATGTACCCCACCAATCAACCTATCTGCATGTACTTTGTCTCATCCGCATTACCCGACCTTCTGAGAACTGCCTACTCTAATAAAGTACCAACCGGACCGGCGGTTTAAGCGAAGGAACCTTATAATTTGCTGCAAGAGTGACGACTCATGAACCAGGCTGCCAGCCCCCCAGAACTGGAAGTATCCCCGGCCGAACCGGTCAAACATCAAAAGACAGGAAAATCTTTTATTCAAGCTCAAAGATCGAACTGATTGCTGAGGTGTTACTCGCGTCCTCCATTTTATGCAGCTGCCGAGTACTTTGCTCAACGTGGAGAAGGAGTACCTATGTGGTACGGTCCCCTGGATTAGTCTTCCTGGGCAAGAATCGGTAGCCTTCTCATATTAACAGATCTAGGTAGAAAACAAGGTACTGACATAAGTAATCAACTACATACGATTTTCACCAATCAATGATGCTTCATTGAGGCTTTCGGGGGAGATTCCATTTACAGCCTAATTATCAACTATTCAAATCACAAACTTGGCATATGGGGTAATGGATTGGGAAATCCTGCTTTTGGGGTTAGAGGTGCCTCTAGAGTACTAGTGGCGGTTGTCAAGCTGGAAACATATGGAACCCTAACCCTAGCCCTCAGGAGCGGGATGATTTGGCAAGGGGAAAATGTGGCATATTCAGACGTTCTGAGGGCCGAGAACATAAAGATTCCGTTGCAAATACCTGGCGACTGGGCGGACGGGACTGCCTATCTTGGGTCTAAATGGAAATAATACGTAACACCTCTTTCGAGAAAATGCAAGCCTACATGTAGGCAGAATTTTTAACTGGCAAAGACCACGAACGAGCCGTGAAAAGTTTATTTTATGTTTGGATTCCCCGCGGTTGGTTTGGAATATTGATATCTATCCCCGGCCAATACAGAGAAGGTTTTAAGAGTCTAGTCCTATACTATTGACCTAAGTACATATATCGATCTCAGCAGAACATCAAAGATTGAAAGATGAGCAACTATGTACCGGGGGTTGAGGGTAAGTACTGAGAACCCCTTTTTGGGGAATTTTAAAAAGTGAGGGTTTGTAAAGGAATCTGATTGGGCTGATATAATTAAAATGACACTTGGCAGCCAAGCAGGTATTTGGATAGTCTGCCCCTCAGCTTTTGCAATGCAACCTCCTCAACCTCTTTTCTACTCCTGTTCTTTTCGAACTTCACCAAAACTTCTTTGATAACTTCGAATCAGTACTCAGGTGACCCTGTGAGCAAGAGCTATTCAGTGGTTAATTTTTTGTTTTTTAGGAAAATATTTGAATTTTTAAGTGAAGATAGATAAAACGTCTCGGTATTTTTTTCCACCATATAAATTTTGAGGCCAAGGCCAAAATTCATTGGCTGCTTTTGGTTACCATGGGCGGTTCCCATGCAAAATCAACCAATCCTTCAAGGCGTCTCGGTATTTAACGTGCACACCCGGTACATACAGCATCAAGAACCGAGTTTTTCGTCAAGCCCACCGTATCATGAGAGCCACGGAGGAATAATGAGCCCCGATTGCAAGAGTATCACTTGCGATCTCATGCGACTGGAATCAACTGCGTACTGCCGCACATACATATAAGGTAGTTAGCTTTCTGAATTAGTCTTCCCCTACATACACACCGATCGACGGCCGAGAGCGAGGTGCCTAGTTATTTTCAAGTAACTGAGGTTAACGAGAACTGTCTTTACAGCTAAACATTACCTGGGGAGCTCTCCGGATAGGTTTTGTGGGGTTTCACTCTGAAACGTCACTGGTTCATGGGGGTTGTTGGATTACCTAGATGTCCGACAGGTGCCAAGCCGGTAACGTCCTAGCAAGCTGCGCATGCCCATCATCCCATTGCATGCATGCAAGAGAATATTATTGCTAAAACCTCACTTAGAAATTACAATCCTTTGACTCGACTGCGTAGACGAGTGGCCATAGCCAAGATTGGAATTAGTGATTGCTAGCTTTGGTCAGCCATTCCATATCTAGGAACTCTTTACTCAACATCTTTCGCAATTTAAATGCGTGGGAATGTACATATATGCATATATATCTTATACTTTTTATGGGTGTTTATTGGGGTCAAATATGGTATATCTCTCGGCCGGCAATATTGACAAAGCCTTACAAGTCATATATGGCATTAACTCGAATCGATTCCCGCTCGATCGTCCGTGGAAAGCTTCCTACTGGACAATTGATCTCAGAATTATCCATCAGATCAGTACGGCCGGGTACGTACCGACAGCTCAATAAGCCGACAAATCCTCAGCATTGGGCTTTAGGCCAAAAGCCATGTTTTAAGTTGACCATGTCATGAAACCTGCCTAGAGTATTCGATCATGATTGCTTAGGTAGTACTAGTGTTACCTCCATCGTTGACATATATCCCGCGAATTAAAGCACTGTATAATAGAATATTCTAGATTACTCTTCTTGGGCTATGCCTAGTTAGGCCTAGACACTTCGATCCATTAACAGAAATCCCACACATTTGGAACTGGGTGTATCTGGAGATTTTGGTCTACAGTTCAACCTAATCTCTCCATTTACCTGTTGGATCCGTGGGGTCTACCCCACTAGTGGGAAATGTGAAAGGTTGGCGCCCAAGAATTGGATTGGTGACCGGCAGTTGGGAGCCCTAACCCTCCCCCACACTTAGAGTCTAAGATCAAAACAGAACTAAGTCAAGATTTCAGTGTACGGAGAGTCCTGCCGGGCCCAGAGTAGATCATAGGTATTGGACTACGTAGTAAACCTTTGGCGAAGTAACCTAAGTATTTCATGAGGTTTGGGGGTTGGTTTTAACTGCTGGAGTATGTTTCACCAGCAGAAATACCCGCCGAGTGACTGTAAAGACGTCTGAAAGGTTCATGGAGCTTTCTCATGTACATATTCGAGAAGTACTGCCTTCGAATATATACCGCAAATCCAGGTAGAAACGAAAACCCAAGGCGTTTAAATATCAAAGGTCTACCTATTCCAATTCTTATCCGTAATTAGAGTTTCAAACTTACGTGAAAGACTCCCGAAGATTTACTTCACAAACCAGAAATTACCAAACGTTCATATCGGGGCCATAAAGTCTAGGCCTGCCCTTCCGAACATTATACCCACTTCCAATTAAACCCTAACCCCAAATATCAGCCGCAGAAAAGCGCATGTAGCTCAACGGAAGGGACACCGATTGGGGCAGCATCTGTTGTGCCATCATTTTCGCTTGAAAAAATCAAAGACAAAAAACAAAATAAATTGGGCTTCTTATTCGGAAAGTATCATTAATCGCCAAGGACTATAAGGAGTACGGGCCCGCCCCTTATGCATGTACAAAATCACAGAACCTATGTAGCTACTAGGACTTGGTTTGAGTATCAGAATACGGGCAAAGCCTTGCAAGCTCAAACTATGTAGCTATACACAGAACTCAAGCTGCCATAGCCTCTCCGCCTCCGAGAATGGAAGTAAACTCTATCGAGATAAGCCTCATTATTAAGGCATTGCAATGAGTTCTGATTGCAGAGGTCTGACTCGCGTCCTCCATTTCGTATGCAACAACAACTGACTGATAGTTTCTAGATTAGTATTCGTGGCAGACAACAAGGCAACTAGAAAGAAATAAAAGTGTAGAAAATGCTCACCAGTGGGCAATGATTGGTCAGAGACTTCCATTTACGGTTACCGCGAACAGCCACCGGACACCGATGCACCGAGGCACGATCATTGGATATCACTCGCACCGCATCCGCCACCCGCATTTAACTACATGTATGGTTATTTATTTTAGCCCCTCTATTGAACCCAGAGTATTGAAAAAGGTATTTCTAGGCAATCCGCAGAAAACATCCACATGAAAAGAAAAACTCCACAAGAAAAAGCAGAAAATAATTGCAAGCTACAGAAACCAACTCCTAGAACTCCTAGAACTCCCTACTATCCCAGTATAGCCCTACCTCACCTCCTTCATCTCCCTTCCAAACCCTACAAATATCATTGCATCCCGCAACAGCCTCTCTAAGATCTCTTCCAAGTCCTGTCGGTCCCGAGGCCAGTACCTGGACCTTGCCCACACACTCGTCGCGGAAGGACTTGACGATGTCCTTACAGCTGGGATGATGATTCTGCAGCCAACTTGTAACATCATTCTCCGATGTTTTAGCCTCCGCTGATACGCTTACTCCCAATGTCTCCTTAGTTTTCGGATCACAGACTTCTTCTTTGGATGCGGAAAGGGTGGAGGAGGTGGGTGAGGTGGGTGAGGTGGAGGGGACTTCCCCTTCACGAGTGACAAATACTCGAATGTAGAGATCAACACCAGGGGTCTCTGTAGCTTGTCTCCGAAGCTCTAGGAGCTCATTCTGGATCCATTTCAAGTTCTCGGCACGGCGCAGAATCCAGACAAAGTCGATGATACACTTCTCATCCGATGATGTAGAGGCAATGATGTTTTGGGCCAGGGGCAGAGTAAATGATGCTCCAGTCCCTCCTGCAACGAGTTGATAGTTTGATGCACCTTGATCAATGACCGATGTGCCGTAAGGGCCACATACAACTGTTGGTAGAGGGTACTCTGTATCTGGCTCGATGCAGAGATCTGCAAGACGTTTGGTTTGGCCCTTGAGCACGCGGATGATGTAGAGTTGGTCTTGGATCTTTGCACCTGGTGTGGGGATATTGGATGTAGTGAATGGGTGGGATTCAAAGAAGCTAAGAGTGGGAAAAGTGAGGAAAAAATGTTGGCCCGCTTTCCAAGTGATGTTGCTTTTTACGCGGAGGACGAGAACGTCGATCCCATCAGTGTCGTGGTGGCGGGAGATAGTTCCATCGAATGCATGTAGACCAAATACTGCGTTTCATTGTCAGGAAATCGTCTATAATATTTTGCTGGGAGTTTACAAACCGCCGCTTGTGCCAGATGTCCAGTTCATGTGAATCAAAAACATTCGAGCGTATCTAACACATCTATCAAAGAACACAATGGCGATACCGGCAATAATCCCTTCATCACGAAAGTGTGTTAGTATAATTATATAATACTCCTAAGCCTGTGGTAATGAGATACTCACATTCTCTCATGTCCGGCCAATGGCCCCAACAAGCTCCCAAAAACAAAACCGCCACAACCTCATGGCTCTTCCTGAAGAACTCATATCCTGTCCACTTCTGCACTGTTCTGAACGAATGCAAAAACAAGAATGTCAACAACGCCGTAGCTCCAACTCCGTACTTCCAGTATCGCTTCGCCCAGGTTGTCTTATACTTGGTCGGCTGCGGTTGGTACATAACTCCCAACTCGATTGACCACAGGATCGTGTGTACCCAAGTCATAATGAAAATGAACCTCCCAATCCACCGATGCAGGAAGTTGAAGTGCTGGTATGACACCCCTGTGATCAACGAGAAGATGTTGTCTCTCGAAGATAGGATAAAAACAAGTGGTACAAACGCAAAAGCAAGGCATCCTGTACGATCTCCGCTAAACTCGAGGAATCCGATTCGTCGACCGGGAGGTTTCGTAGGGTTGACCCACACCCCATAGGAGATCCCGATAAAGGTGAAGAGGGTACAATATAGTGTTAGGAGTACCACCATCATTGCTTGAAAACGAGTAACATGTGGGAAGAGATGCCCGAGTGACTGCGGGAGGAAATACTTTCTGAAAAATGCACCAAGTGCACCGTAGATACTTCGTCCACCGGCAGCAATTTCCTTTCCTTCTTCATCTTTCTGAGATAGTTTCCTGCGATGACGGCCCGAAATATTGATTACACCTGCCACAATAACGATTGATGCAATGAAACCCCAGGTGATGAACCTATTATCTCCCATAAGCTTCTCTTTCAACTAGCTGTCATTTGGTCACTTTGCCAGGCTACTCACATTCCCAGAATATGGCTATTATGTTGTTGGTAATAGTGATCCCAATAGTCACAATTGTCTTTCCCTTCACAAATACCCATCCCCATATTTCCGTACGGTTTTGCCCGTGGGCCCTCCCAGTAGCCACTGGTTGGTACGGATGTGGCATGAGCATGCTCTCGTTTGATTACTGCTAGTTTCTCCATCTTGATGAATTGTGTCTTGATAGCAGGTATTTTTTAGTGACGATGAACTGGATCAGAGACAGGACTAAGAACAGCTTTCATAGTCTTCAGAACAGGTTGGTTTTTTTTCTATGGGCGGGGTGGAGGAATTATTAACTCCCTCGTGATTTTGTGAGCAGGTTTGTACCTACGGCCACGGGATACATAATCAACTCATCGGAAACATGCTCAATCTGGTCTTTCTAACCGCACATGACAAATTGCATGATCAACTAAATGACCAATTTAGTGGCCAGATGACTAGGATAAGTTCTTAAAAGAATATAACATATCCAGAATAAACCCTCATAAATAATACGGACATCTTGATAACGAACTCCAAAGTGTTATATCTCTTGGCAACGTCGCCAAGCGAGCGAACCAGGTAGATAAACATGCTCAATTCCGCTCATTCCAGGGCAATTTTCGTCGTATCAGCCTTTTTAGGGGAACAGAACCTACCATCAAATAAATCTGTCCAGACAGGTGTACGTTACCCCTGCTACCAAGAGAAAAGATTTTGCAGCGTAATAAAGTATATTCGGCCCGAACTTTGCAACGGAAGTATGATTGTCGTTTTCCAAGAACCTTTTGTCGTTCAGCATCTGTGAAGTTCCCCCTGAAATCCCAACGGAGCTTATCTAGATCCTACCGAATAAAGATACACGTAGTTCGTGGTAAATTAAGGAGATCTCATGAATCATATAATATCACTCGGAAATCGATCCTAGTAAAAGCTCAAATATCACCTCTTAGATCTAGCGACGGAATAGATCCAAGTTGGCTGACTAGCTTGTAGACTCTGAAGATCTGCTGTCTTTCTATTTGTATTTTCTCCCATGGCGTGGAGGTAATGACGCCTCGGGATTCGAGACAGAAATGACTTTCAGAACATTTTTCTTACTCTAGCCCTGACTTGATCTAGGATATAGGAAGCAAAAGATCTACAAGTGCTAGTAATCCGATCGCGTGTACAAATCAAATTTTGCCCCGTAATCGTGATTCCAGCAGGGATCCCGAGATAAGTTCTATCGCTCTTGCCAGGATTTGGGTCAACATCCTGTACTACAGCGTGTGGTAAAATTATTGTAGAAGTATAGGAAAAGTCCTATTGGCCGAGTCAGCCACTTAAACCCTGTTTTTGGACCCCAGTTTCTACAATAATTCTATCTCTCGCTGTAAACTTAACTTAAAAGTTCCCACTACTTGTAGATCGATCTATAGAAACATCTCGATCGGTCTTCTGGATAATGGATCACGAGGCCATCTAAAATGTCACATAATACCACCTAAATATACTTATATCATGTATTCTAGATCTTGTAGAAGAACCACCATCATCTCTACCATGTATATTTCTTGCTCCTAGAAATCCCAGTAGTTTGATTATCTTCTAATATCTAGAGAAATCATTCTGAGCGTATGCGCATGTAGCACCTAGTTTTGGAAGAGAGAATGAGAAAATCCGGGGCGAGAAACGTCTTGCGGTTGGTTAGGGAACTCAGCTGATAAGCTTTCACAATATCGTATACGTCGTTGATTGCATACCAGGACCTCAGCCGTACCATATTATTTCATTATCACTAGATCGAATGGGACGTCTCATCTTATGAAAACATTGGATCTCAATGCTAAAACACGAAAAATGATCAATTAAGCGACTACAATTGGACTATTTCATACACCACTGACTAGGTACGGAAAAATTAACAGTATCTGCATGACAAAAAGCATTCCGATATCGATGATCGTGAACTATTTACCTAGCTAGGCGCACCACCCAACAAGAACGAAATCACCGAGATAATTTCGTATATGCAGTGAGAAGACAACTCTTATCATATTGTATACTAGAAGTTTCCAGCACGACAACAATATACTTTACGCATTGAGAATTTCTGTTGACAGACAATTGCAAATTATAAATACTCGGAGAAGTTTAACTTATTTCTTAGCTAGTAATGAGCTAGCCACGAACTGTCAACTACGCTATCCCTATTAAGCTGAAGCTCGAATGGGGGCAATACCGCAGTATTTGAGAAAATTCGTTGCGCTGCAGCAGGGGTATTCTCTACAAAAACTTGCATATTGACGTCTAAATACTGCCTCTGGTTGGCTTATACCCCTGCTGAGGCGCAACGAATATTCTCAAATACAGCGGTATACGTGTATGTACTTACATGTATTTGTTCAATAGATCGGCATTGCACGGACCGTGGGGGCAACGAAAAACCGAAGGTTCGTCTGTGAGATCACCCTCACATAATTATGAGATGTTCAAATCGCTAAATAAAGGTATTAGAGCGTTTTGGCAACGGCACTTTTCCAAATTTCTAGGTCAAATTTTGAGTTCTTGGCTCTGCGCCGCTAGAAGCGATTCCGTTGCTTCTTTGGTGTGAAATCGCAGCAGATCCTGGAAGATCGACTTGTAAATGCTTGTAGCAGCGTAGAGCCAAGAACTCAAATTTTGACCTAGAAATTTGGAAAAGGGCGGTTGCCAAAACGCTCTATTGCCGTTTGTATGGTAGAGTACATGTATGCAATAACAGCCCAGTTTACAAACTTCAGGAAACTACATACATGTGTTGAACAAGGACGTTGTAAAGCCCTGCATTGCTCACATATACCTACATTTATTCACTATAGATCTTTTTTGCGGGGCCTGAAATTGTATTAATGCTTAATCTCGCCAATATAACGTGTGTGCATGTAGGTACTCTATCCATGGGAAGTTCCGGCCAAATTCAGGGTCCATGTTACGAATACATGTAGTCTTTTGTTTTTATCTTCAGACTCACTCCCCAAGACGTTGTCTTAGTCTTTCGGGTAGACTATTGGCTACATAAGTAAGTTTCCCCTTCAACTTCAGGGTGCGCTGAAAGTCTCTAATGCGAATTACATACATATATTTGATGAAATGCATGTCTTTGATAGGTTGAATTCATGATTGCATGTGTGGTATTCTAATAACGCCAGCTCGCCCCTATTTTCTCAAGAGAGAAATACTCCTTGAACATATGTCTAGGTATTAGAGTAGGTACTGTATAATGAAAGCCACATCTCGTAAGTAATTGCGCACAATTATTAGTCAATCAATCTTAACTAGAGCTGGTAGATACCCCAAGGTAAAGGTTGTCTTCAGTGATCACGTATCTTAGGTACGTCGTACACATACATCTGAAGTCATACATCACATACATACAATTTACAGCTGTCTATTTATGTGTACCTATCCATGGATCATGGGTCTACAAGAGTCTCACTCTCAACATTACAATACTGGCAATTGCCATTGGAGAATTTCGACCACACTCCCGGTAACGGGGCGGGTTGCGATAAGACAACGACACAAGACTCAGTCACGTGTCAAGTTCATGTCCGTGCTTGTAGAGATTCATAGATAATCACTGTTGCAATGGCGGACCATCGGATAGAATACACATGTCTACAAGAACCAGGATCTGCCTCAACTCGACGGGTCGGAAAATGTTACGGGACAAGACAGCCCCGGAAATTTTGAATGATCTTTCCTCCCACGAGTGCTTGCTTCATCCCTTTATGGGGGAACCTTCTTCTCCCTCGTTCTCGCGCGCCTTTAATCACCCAGACTGAATGCGGTTTTATGGATCAGATCTGATCAGCTGAAGGCCCTAGTACGATTATTGGGACCGCACCCTCAAGTAATTAACATCCAGAGATACATTTACTTACTCCTCGAGCTTGTTCAACTGCAGTATGTACACTTACGCGGCTCTGCAACATCTCGTAGGTTTAGATCTGACTAGAATATACTTTAAGTAGGTTCTTCCCTCAACTTTGGGAGCTCCTGGAGCACTATAGCGAGAGTTATGGAGCTGACCTTGTTACCCCAGTTCTCATGCAATAGGGCGAAACTGATTCATCACTCACTCAAACAAACTCAAAGCAATATAAAAACGGAAGGGTCTTGAGGTATATAATCATGCCGATGCTTTTGTACCACGCAAGGGCAAGGGGCAACTGTCTTCCTTATCAAAGGATACCTCTCCTAAGAATGAAGGGGCTCTAAAAGCTGACATTCTCCATCATTGGTAGCGCGTTCTATATTCTATAATAACAAACTCCAGCTTCTTAGAGCCACACGCATCTTGCTCTAGGTCCAGCGATATCTCTAGCCACCGCCGACATGACTTCCGATATTAACACTACAGGCTTGCCTGCTACAAAATCTACGGAAGCAGGCTACACCTTCACAACAGATCAAGATGACGTCCGCCTAAGTGAAATGGGATATAGCTCTGAGTTATATCGCAAATTCTCATTACTCTCGATATTGTCTGTTGGGTTCAGTGTAGGTACTCTCTCTCTCTCTCTCTCTCTCTCTCTCTCTCTCTCTCTCTCTCTCTCTCCACTATACCAATTTATTTGTCTGACGGAGTTTTCGCGGCATCTCTTAGATCTCCAACAGCTGGTGGGCTGTTACCGGAGCCCTTGTAACCGGTATTATGAATGGTGGTGCAGCGATATACATCTATGGGACGATCCTTGTTGCGCTGGTTCATGTTGCTATCGGGGCGAGTCTTGGAGAGCTAGCTAGTGCCTATCCTAATGCTGGTATTTCGCCCAATCCCCTTAGTTTTTCTACTACTTGATCCAACTACTGACGACTACTAAATAGGCGGACAGTACTATTGGGTAATCATGTTAGCGCCCGAAAGTTACAAACGATTTTTGGTATGTATCTATCGAATTGAAAGATATTTTATACTGAGAGGCTCCAAGTCATACTTCACAGGGGTTGTCTCCTGGGCTGGTGCAATGATCACTGGCGCATCAGTTTCGTTGGTAGTTGGACAAGGTGTAGTCGGCATAATAATTCTTTGTAGACCAGAGGTATCTATGCACACGCAAATACACACCCCTTTTCACTGTGAATAAACACTTACCGCCTTCGAGATAACCTACCATCCCTGGATGGCTGTCATCGGCTATCAAATGATCAATATGCTCGTTTTCTTCCTCAATTGCTATTCTCGGATACTCCCTAATCTCAGCAAGGCGAGCTTCTATATATCACTCTTCTCCTTCCTCGTAATCACCCTAAGTATCCTCATAGCCTCTCCACAAAAGGCATCTATCGATTCTGTTTTCCGTGGATTCAGCAATTTCTCCGGATGGGATTCTAACGCGATCTGCTTCTTCACTGGTTTATTGGGGGTAAACTGGGGGTTCTCTTGTTTGGACGCCTGTACGCATATGGCGGAGGAGCTTCCCAAGCCCGATAGAAATGTGCCGAAAGCAATACTGGGTACAGTAGCAATTGGGTTTGTGACCAGCTGGGTGTATAGTATTGCGATATTATTTTCGATACAGGATCTTGACGCTATCATTGAAACTCCGACCTTTGTGCCCAATTTAGAGCTCTTCAAGCAGGCTTTGAGGGGAAGTATAGCTGGAACGATTGCATTAGAGATTCTCGTTCTACTAACTGGTATCGGATGCTTAATGAGCATCCACACATGGCAATGCCGTTTGGTAAATAACTACCTACCTATTGTATTCTCGGAAGTCAGCCCACCTCGTTTCTAACTCGAAGGTTATACAGATGTGGAGTTTTTCACGCGACAACGGCTTCCCCTTCTCCTCCCACCTTTCTCGTGTCGCTCCCGCCCCATACAATGTCCCCCTCTGGGCACACATATTCTCCACATTTTGGATAGCCGTCCTCGGATTTCTATATCTCATCTCCACCAGCGCTTTCGGATCCCTCGTCACCGGCTGTATATTGATGCAGTACGTATCCTACACAATACCGGTCGTACTTCTGATGCTACAGAATCGAAAGCTCTCAAATCCGGGTCCATTTCGGCTGGGAAGGTGGGGATGGTTAGCGAACGGGATACTGGTTGGGTGGGCGTTATTTACGCTCGTATTTTATAGCTTTCCGTTTGTGATACCTGTAACAGGTGGGAATATGAGTACGTATTTTCTCCTTTTTCTGGAGTATAATGATCTGATGAATTGGCTGGTAGATTATGTTTCTGTGGTTATGGCGATTATATTTGCGTATGCAATTACGTATTGGTTCTTGTGGGGCAAGGAAACCTTTACGGGGGTTAAGAGAATTGAGGACAATATTACTGCTGCGAGAGGTTAATTCAATGAGAATAAACCCTAGACAAGGTAGCCTCCCTGGTCTCGTGCATTCCTTTAGTTGGCGTTGGTTTATTATTGATTCATAACTCGTTTTTACTTACTTAACTCTTATACTATATCATGGCACTGTAATATATATAATAATAGCTATATGAAAGATTCGGCGTCGTCTGTAATATGATGGAGGCTCTGCAATAATGGGCGTGGCTATATCGAACTGCCTATTATTAAATACCTACTAATTATACTATAGTAGAGTAATAGTGATTCTCAAGTGGTTAAAAGTAATCCCACGCGCTTCAGAACTGGAATCCTTAGCTCCCTAACTCCCTTTATTCCTACCCTTTAAAAATGCAAGCTGGAACCACAGATCTGTATATGGAATAATTAATTCTAGTTCTGGAATACTTTACATCCTGGGGATATTCAAATATCGACACTGCCGATTGTTCAACGATCCGCCACATCAGATACTGTAAACCGGCCCAAAGCCCATAATTCTCCTATTCAAAAGGGAAAATAAATAAAGCCTGGTAAGAAGATACGTCAAATAGCGAAGTACCGATCTCTATGACAATTTTGCGAAGTTTAGTAGAAAGCGGAGTACAGGCGGATAATATATTTGTAGACTCCAGGAGATGTATAGATCAGAAACCTACATCCGAATGCCGATAAGAATTCCAAGATATCCAGAAGATGTCCCGACTAGGGTGAATAGGCCCCCACTGGACTAATATTAGTTGAAACCTTGTGGTCAATGATTAACGGAAACCCCCCTATGTAAGTATAACTTGATAGATATTTGTGTAGTAAAACATAAAATGAGACAACACTCTATGATAAAACTACATACTCAATCCTACCCCGAACTTGATATATAATATATACATGATTTATATAAGAACCAATGCAGGATGGACCCGTGCAGCCATCGCCTCGTTCCGCTTCATGCCCCCAACTGTTAACCATGACACTGCCGCTGCTACTTCTGCTGTGAACATTCTTATTCTAAACCATCTCTAGTTAATTCATTTAATTAAACCATTACCTCCCGATAATTCATTTCTTCAATACGCCGACTCCTCCCGGAAACTTATGACCAATAACAAAAAAGTCTATCCAAAAGAAAAACTAAAACGAGTGATACTGGATGATCAAATCTCTCCAAAACCCTTGATCGCCCCCCCCTCCCAAAAAAGAACTATATAGGTCGCAACTATCCCGACATACGTAGGTTCGGAAATCACGATAAATAACTCCCCCTCCGTCCGCTCTTGAATGAGAATGCCGAGAAAGTCGAACTACGCCTCGGTGATTTCGGTAATTCTTTATGTCACGGCCTAGATGTTAGCAACAGTCTCCCATTCTTGCTTTAGGGTATATGAATAGCTTACCATCCATTCTTAACTGATCTCCATGTCTCTCACGTTCCCTCATATCAGCCATCAACGCTCTGGTGATCCGTTCCCGTGTGATCCGTAATTTTTCCAATTCATGATATTGATTCATGAACCGTAGTTTTTCTACAATGAAATAATGTTAGCTCACACCAATACACTATCTAATATCCGATTCGCATAAGACTTACCACCCTTAGACTCGAAGATGATATTAAAATAAGATAATTTGACCTTTTTCCCTTTCGGTAGGTACTCCTCACCCAGTGCGATACTCATATCATCAACTATTCCATCACCCTTAGCTTCTAGAAACTTTGCAACAAAGTCACCACCTTTTATCACTGTCTCGATGACGAGTTTCTTGCAGCAGACATCGCTTTCTGACTCCGGAAGTCTTCTAGATTTTCCGCCCCCACCAGGATGTAGGTTTTTACTGCAACAGCTCGTGTTGGAGAAGCTGATAGTATCATCGAGGGCAAATGTTATAAATACGCGCCGCTTCTCGCTGGAACTGGTGTCATTGAGACATGCAAAAAATCTCGAACTTTCCACCTTCTTGACCTCAAACACCGTTGTTCCGTCTTGCTGTCTGTGGGTGGTGGTGGTGGTGGATAAGGCAACACTTGGTGCCGCAGACCACGAGGACATCGATTGAGTTTGTGTAGTTGTTGGAGAGAGTGAGGATTCAGTTGAAGGTGTATTTCCTTCTGGGTCAAGACGAGGGCGCGGCTTTTCGAGCCAGAGTTGTATGAGACCTGAGGTAAATTCGCGGGAGCTTCGCGTTAAGGCGGGTTCTTGGTATCTGATGCCCTTGAAGTGGGAGCTGATGAATCTGGCGTTGGCGTCTACAAACGCGTGCTGGAATGCGAAGAGGTCTGTCATGCTCATTTTCAGTAAATATCTGTATCTTTTGCAACTAACCTTGGCGGAAGAAATTACCCTTGTGATTACTGAAGGTGAAAGACTTCGCTTCCAAGGGCTGGTACAGAATTATGTTCCAACATCCCTCTTGGGGGTAAAACATGTAAAGTGGTCGCATGTGCCATATATTCTTGTCTATTACGTACTCTAATAATAAGTTAGCATAAGTACCAGATCTTTAACTCACTGGTAAGTCAACTAAAATATTACCTTTGATTATATCCTTCACTACATTTCCTCTACGACTAGTACTACGTACTCTCTCTACACACCTCAGACTACCCCCTCCCTGTCGGAACACTAAAAATGTAATGGGTTGTGTCTGGTAGTGAGCTCCCGGGAGTTGTCTAATATGTCGTTAATTAATGTTTAAATATATGCCGACGAGGAAGACACACATATTAAGTATAAGGTCTTCGCCATAACCTTCCATGGTGGTATCAGGCTCAAGTAGAGGTTCTACCAAAGGTGAGAACTCGTGTGGATCAAGCGAGTGAATTGAATCCATGCTAGGGATCTGTAGTTCTTTTATTTTCATGTCATTGAAGACCTCTTTAATCTCCTAATTTGACAGTCAGCATCCTCCATAAATTATTGGTAAAAGGGATTCGGTCATACGTCTTCCAACTTTCGGCAAAGCTTATGTAGTAGTGAATCCTTGTCTATTATAGCTAATTTCTGCAGCTCTGGATGCCCATTGAAGGACGTCACAATCCACTTCGCTTTTCTTAACCACAAGTACTGGGTCGGTGTCAGTTTCGCCATATTAGTGGCGCCATCAACAGCATATCTTCCCTAAATCAAATAAGTCACTAACTGTTCTTTATCACTTTTTGCTACCGGAACAACAATACCTACCTTCTCGAGCCATATCACAGCACTCTTCGTCAGCTCGCCCACGGCCACATCCGTCAACTCGGACACCGTATCCTCTCCATCGTCTCTCATTTGATTCTTGAACCTAATATCTAAACTGTCCGTAGTAATCTCGAGGGCTGGCGGTGGCGGCGGCGGCGGCGGCGGTGGTGGTACCGCGCGTGGGCGTCTTTCAAACGGTCCAGGTTGGCAGTTAAATCGCTGCAGTATCTCCCTCATATCGTCGAAATTCTCTTCCATGCGGGTTCCAACCTTCAAAACTTCCTTCTTAACATCCAGCACCTCGCCTGTGAGGTTTTGGATGCTTTCCTGGATATTTGTCATAACCTTTCTGCTCCCCAAAGTCAACATCACTTCAACAACGAAGCTAGGAACACAAATGCCTACATTTTGAAGGGTTCCAGCACAAAATTAATAATCGTAACATGGTATCTGCATCTCTCCAAAAGCTCCTGTACTTCGCCTTTCGCACTAAACCAATAACTCATTCGCCTTTCTAAGCCTGCCCTCTCCCCAACCGGATACTGTCTTAAACGTGCCTGTATCGTCTCTAATGTCGCTCTGAAATCCAGCGTAATTTCCCGCAAAGATTGCCATGTCGTTTCATCGTTCCGGTGCCGGAAACATTCGGTTTTGGCTGTTGTATTTCGATCTCGTATGGCGCTCATGAGACCGTTCAAACCATCACGGAGAGCACGGGCGGATGCTGCGAAATCTTTATGAGAGCTGGAAGCATTATTAATTTCGTTACAGGCTTTGATGATGCTGTCGCAGAGGTTTACGCCAGCTATAAAATCACCAAAGCCAAAAGACATGATGTTGGCCAGGATGGATTAATGCTTCGGGAAAATGTCAGAGCTAGCAGGGCAGACCTTCCTCCGATCCTTCCTTACTTACTTCCCTACTTCCTTCCTTTAGTGATTGCCGATGGTGGGGAGTTAAGTAACGAGAATTAGAGAGGTTTCGCAGGGCGTATTGTGCCACTTTGTACGTATGTAGCCAATGTTCTCGGGTCTGTGAACAGTCTGGCGCATGTATGTGTGCAAATGCGCAAGAGATAAAGGGAACGGATGTATGATAGAGCCCTGTACATATATCCTTCAGGATAGCAAAGCGATTACCAGGGGCTTCGCCTCGTCCCTTTACGGATAACTGATAGATATCAAATTCTGGTGCTGGTATGTAGTTGGTGACATTGGGGGAGAAAAGGAAGTAGGTACTAAGAATTCGTTACAAGGAGGGTGTTACATTGGCTGAACCTAGTACTCTATGTTTGTATGGCTGTAACCTACACATATCCGGAGGAAAAAGCAATCAGTTCTCGTCTAATCACTCTGGACTGGAATAAAATCACACCCCTCTTCTTCCCCACCCCTCGCCAAACAGAAAGGGAAATTATAAAACCACTATTTTGATTGTGAGGTGCCTGTTTTTGAGGCTGAAAATAAATAATGGGTGTACCGAGTCTTAGAGCTCGAGGATACAATAAGAAAATATACATCCCGAATTGCCCTTGCGAAATGAGTATGATTGGATTCTGTAAGCGAGAACGTTTACTCTACTTGCCAGTTAGCACTCTCTCCACACACAGAAGCACAGCATTTCACCAAAACGATCCATCTGTTCTTGGCTCAATTCGGGATTAAACATGAGGCTATAGGAGGAAAATGTCGCTCACCCGATAGATAGATATATGTATGTAGAGTACCGCAGTAGTAGAATAGGTACTCTACTCCACAATTGTCAAGGCGGCTGTGTATGTATGTACGTTTGAAAGATTATGTCGTGTCACACCCATTATTGTGTAACACCAACATCAAACCACGCTCATCTCCTGGCGGATGTCGAGTACAACTAGTGCCCAGGTCCGCCCCAATTAATAGAGTAAGAACCCTCCCAAAGCACGGTTCAAAAATCAAGACACACCATGTCGCAGTCACGACACATCTGGGAGCTCGAGCTAGAACCTCTTGACCAAGAAGATAGAGAGATTTTGGAGGAAGCGGAGAAGGATCCTAATGCCGTCACCACAAGTACTACGATTGCCCAGAAATTAGGGTTATTTTCGACGTGTTGTATGATAATCAATAGGATCATTGGTAAGTTGTTTGTATATACATGATAATTTGAAAGAATGATGTTGACCGTGAATTCAGGGACCGGTATCTTTTCAACACCGGCCACCATATTGAAGGTAAGGGAGACTTAACTCGTTTGGTTGTTATAAGAACCTAAGCCAAAATTTTTGGAAGTTTTTGGTTTTCTGAAAGCTCCCAGGTAGAATCAGCTCCTCTGTGACTCTGTGCTAACCTTGATTCAAGGCCACTGGAAGCCCTGGCGCCTCCCTCCTCCTATGGGCCGCTGGAGCGTTTGTCAGTTTTGCCGGCCTCATGGTCTACATGGAATTCGGTCTTTCCATCCCACGGTATATGCAAGATGGGCAATCCAAAGCCGTTCCACGTTCCGGTGGTGAGAAGAACTACGTAAATCTTCCAGGCATCTTTTTATTCTTCTACTGTCCAACTAAACGCTTCCCAGCTTGAATACGTATTCCGCCGTCCCCGTTACTTAGTCACCTGTGTATATGGTGTATTATTTATTGTACTTGGAAACACCTCAGGAAATGCAATCTCTTTCGGCCAGCATGCTCTCCGCGCCAGCGGTGTCAAAGAGGATGAAATCGATAGCCACGAATGGCAGATCAAGGGGATTGCTATAGCAGCAATCACGGGAGCTTGCCTTCTACATGGATCTTGGAGAGCAGGCGGCATATACGTGAATAATTTATTCGCGACCATAAAGTGTCTAATGCTTGTGGTGTTCATCATTGCAGGAGCTGTACACAGTGGGAAGGGAGGGAATCGAAACACTCATAACCTAGACCTTGACTGTTCCTTTGTGAATAGCTCAGATAGTGGGACGGCGATCTCAAAGTGTCCACAGAATCGAGACATGCAACATAATGAATGGCAGATGTACGGGTTTTCGCAGTCCTTCTTGTTGGTCATATTTGCATATGGCGGGTTTGAGAACGCGAATTATGTGAGTAGATAATCAATCTTGCTCGTTTCCAATTGCTAATACTAGGCGATAGATCCTCAGCGAGATAGACAGACCAAAGCGTACCTATAAGTTGGCTTCGCTTTTGTCATTGGGCCTGGTTACCTTCCTGTATATGCTCGTCAACATAATATATGTGAGGATCGCTCAATCCCAGATCACTCATAGTTTAAGAGATTCTAAGTAGACAAAACACAGTTTCTGGTTCTACCGAGAGGGGAGTTCGTAAACGAAAGTACTCAGTTAGCGCTCGAATTCTTTAAGACGGTATACCATATTCTTTCGGATTGGGGCAGGCAGGAGGCTAACGCGGCGGTGGTAGATTGTCGGTAGCAAGCATTCAGCACGTGTCGATGCTGCAGTAGCCTCGTTCATTGCCTTCTCTAGCTTTGGTAATATCATTGTAGTAACTTTTGTTGGCTCCAGAGGTTAGTGGGGTAGAGAGGATGTGTGAACATGCTTTGAATTTCTGCTGACACCCTATTAGTCAAACAAGAGATAGCCAAAGAAGGTGTTCTCCCCTTTTCCCGTCTCATTGCCAGCGACATGCAAACTCCTTTCAGCTGGCTTCGAAATGCGATGTTCCGCTCTTCTGATGAGTACAAATCCGAGAACACCCCTGTTGCGGCCCTCTTTCTCCATTGGATATTCTCTTTCATCCTCGTTATCGCCCCCGGAACCACGGATGCTTATCTTTTCCTCCTTCTCCTCCACTCATACGCCCTCCATGTCTGTGCCGGCTTCTTACTCGCCGTAGGTATGCTTTACCTCTATTTTCAAAAGAATTCGACATGGCGCCAGGAAAGCGGTTTCAAGCCTCTTGGGGGATGGATTTGGGCACTTTTATATGCACTTGTAAATGCGTTCTTGATATGTGTTGCGTGGTTCCCACCACCAGACAGGTTCAAGACGTTGATATTGGACCAAATCAAATACAATGTCTACCCAATAGTGGTTTTTGCTCTTATAGGGTTTGGAGTGTTGTATTGGGTGGGGTTTGCGCATCTGTATCCAAGGTACTCGAAGAGGGTCTTGGACGTTAGGAGATACCCAATCATTAGGGATGGGGTGCAAATTTATGAGGCCGTATTTTTTAACTGGGTATATACTCCACTCCTCCTTTCATCCCAAGCCAGCGATGGTTTACTGACATGCATTGATTGATTAGGTTGTGCCGGATTTGGATATAGATGATGATGTGGAAAGTCATGAGAGGGATCCAAGCTTCAATATACAGATGAAGACGAGATCTCGAACTAATGAATGATATGACCTGATGTAATTTTATTAGCCATTCTAAATGTAGTTTATGTGGCACTTATTTCTTGTACATATACATAGTACATTTATTGATTCTCTATCAGTTTGAGAAAATTTAAAAAGAGAAAAGTGAAGTGCCTCAATCCGCAATTTCAAGCTTTAAAAAACGAATAAAGTACAGTCTATCTCCGCTATACCGAATGCCAATAAAACCACAAATCTGCTATTACGAACGGTTTGGGCGGTCCGAATTTCAATTTCACATAGAAGATGATGGAATTTTATCTGCTGTACTGAATAATCTACTGTATCGAACGAGAAATTTTGGAATATGCAGGTTCGTTATAGCGGAGGGAGACTGTAGGTAAGTTTCTAGAATACTGGAACAACCTGTCAATCGTATGCCACGCGAATGATAGCTTTTGAGCTTGTCTCGAACCAGGCCTATTTAGGCTTAGTGTAACAAGTCTTGATAAATCGGCAACGACAAAGCCGTTGGGTGAATTTGGAATGCCGAGTTGCTTGTACGTTTGAGACAACTGTTGAAGCTATCAGCCTTGTCGCACGTGCATCGTAAGTTAGAGACCATCAGCTTTTAGATTACACGCAAATATGCTTTTGTACAACGGTGTAACACTGTGTCACAGCGAATATTTGTTGACTCACTTAGCGGAACGCTCATACGCCGGTTTTCCTGTCAGCCTTGCGTTGACTATCGGGGGACATATTTGAAATGGAGTAACATAGTATGACCTATAAACATACATAATGTATAGCGACATTCCTTCGATCTTGGCCAAGTTAGGTACGTTTCGACGCCAAATATTAGTGTGATGATGTGCACCCACACAATGTTTGGTTCTGTCGCACGTTGTGGAAGTCACTGGGCCCAGGTATGTACTGCGTACGTATTGTACACACCCAAACATGATACGGTATAAGGATACTACGGATAATCATTCCAACACTACGCGCGCGGACGGCTGTTCTAGAAAAGCACTTGGGCAAATAACTTATGATAAATTACACTAGCTCGTTATATAGTGCTGGTATCAGGTCCGTAAGTCACGCCCCGGGTACAGTGGCTATATGACACCCATCTGACTCTCATGTGCTCATCTTGGTTAAATACTGTGCTCTCTAATCATTTTTTCGATCACGGACTAGGCATCTAGGCCTAACTCGTTTGTGTACTCTAGAGATATAGTGATTTTCTCTATTCGTAAAAGCGCAGTTTTATCTGAGATGGTGTTGAAGAGACGCGAATATAGCGCCCCTGGATGAATTGTTCCTCTGATCGTATAGTTTGTGTAAGGACTTGAAAAAATTGTCCTATCATAGATACATGATTCATGCCAACTATGTATATAAATTCTAATAACCCAGCACGGCGGCAGACAAGCGTACAAGGGGAACATGATGCATCATGAGCTTAGAAACATGAACCGCCTTAAAAGCCACATGAATAGACCCAATGTTAGCCTTCGTAATCGGGATCTCCCTTCCCAAATATAACATACAATATGCGCGTATCTCTCCTCCTGTTGCTCTGAATAGATATATGCTTACTTATCCCTAGCTAGTCTATACTTAGCCGTTCAGCAACAGGATCAGCACTTTATCCCTTGGACGGATGAAACTGTCAAATTCGCAGCTTGCCTTTTTGAGCTAATACTAGCCTAAGCAGGTATCTAACACTTATTTTTGATTCGCTCTAGGTCTATTATCAACCGTTAAGAGCAACGGATATACCCAACTCAGTGCGTGCACGGTCCAGGCTGCGAATTTGACGATTTCATCCGTCTAAGAGATAACACGAACCCGATTCGACTCAAGGTGGCACCAATGATAAAGGCTGGGTTTCAAAACCTGTGAAGCATATCATTGTGCTTTATTATCACTTTTTAGTGATGAATTGATCTAATTTTGCTCTTCGTCGGGTTGTCCTGGTTTCACCACCACTTACGCCTGCGTCGCTAAATGATTATATAATTTCTACTGAAGGTCACTTCTTTTGAAGATTTAGATTTCCGGTTATGAAAAGATATATATGGACATGGGATCTCCTCATGAAATACGTACTCTGACTACATCACTTATCGACGATGACCGGCCAGCAGTATCCTTTGCAATTTGATGAAGATCACAATTGGTACAGGCTAGGCCATTATTTGTATACGTACTGCAGTCGATAGATCAGCCACACCCTCTACCTCTCTCGAGAATCGAAATAAACCAGCCACTGATTGCATGGATGATGGATCGCCCTAGAACCTTGTGCATATCCGTGGGGGTCTTCAGTTGAGAGCTCTTCTTTTTTTTTTCTTTTCTTTCTAGAGCGTTCTGGGCATGCGGAATTAAACACATGTATGGCTAGATGCAAAACGCAATTAACCCGAGCAGAGCAGCGGGCAAGCAGGGCATAAAAACTCGCAGCATTCGCAATGTATGCAATAGGCTCCCGGTACCTGAAACATACATGTACCAAACGTTCTGGAAGGCTGAGATATAATATGTACCTGTGGTTGCCTAGCCTGATTGAGCACGCTTTATTTCGACGTCTTGTGCGGCTTATATCGAGCTAAACCTATCTGGGTGCGTATAATAATTACGGACGCTTTTGATCGATTAATTAGGCCAGCATATACTTCATTGTTTGAACAGATTTGTTCACCAATAATCCTACGATAGCCAGCCTACGTCATGTATCTCTACATATTCTAAACACCAAATGCGCCCAGCCCTTATACATAATAGTCTACAAAATGCCACGTACAGGTACCACGATGAGCATACCATCGAAAGCCCGAAGCCTTACCAGCTTTGAGTATTGACCGGCCTATTTTCGGATATATCTAAAACTTTATTTACCTCAAAAATGTCGGATGAAAGCCGCCTCGGTGCTGTTATGCCACAAGCGTCCGAGAAGACTGAGCCGCGATAACGTCACCAGGACATATCGTGAGAAATCCCCGGCTTAAAGCCGTCCTTCATCCCGGCCACATCTCTTCTCTCTCCTCTTTTGGTTGTGCCCCACCGTTAAAAGATCAGATGCCCCCGCAATGGCGTTGTTTCAATGGGCAACCGTTCGGGGATGACTTAGACCGAGGCGGCTAATGTCACAAATGGCCCGCGGTTATATCAACATCGTTGGATACCCCACGTAGTGATTCAAAGTACATATTAGAATACAATTGAAGTGAGTTGATGTCAGTTTTCTATCGTATCCTACGTCCTTCGATTTCTCTACCTCAAAGGCCATTATTTCAATTTCAAAGAACCAGAACTTTTGCACAAACAGTCATGTCGCTCGGAAAGACTGCCACCTTGAACACGGGAGCAAAGATCCCTTTGGTTGGTTTGGGAACTTGGCTTTCAAAGCCAAATGAAGTTGAGCAAGCTGTTGAGATTGCTTTGAGGGCCGGATACCGTCATATGTAAGGAATTAGCAGCTCTATCTATCTTATATGTGTTTTCTGACAGTTACTTCTTATATAGCGATGCCGCTGCCATCTACAACAACGAGGAGGAGGTTGGTCGAGGAATCAAGAAATCCGGTGTCCCCCGGTCCGAGTTTTTCTTGACAAGCAAGCTATGGAACCACAAGCGCGCACCAGAGGACGTAGAAAGCGCTCTTGACCAGACACTGAGGGAGCTCCAAACAGATTACCTAGACCTTTACCTTGTAAGCCAAAAATAACTTATGCTTAAACCCATCAAACTAATCAACTATAGATCCACTGGCCAATTGTCTTCAAATCAGGTGATGAGCAATTCCCTCACACCGAAACCGGAGAGTTTGCGCTCGGCGATGTCCCCATCGCAGACACCTGGGCAGCTATGGAGAAGCTCCTCGACACCGGCAAAGTCAGGGCCATTGGAGTCTCAAACTTCAACATCCGCCGCCTCACCGAGCTCCTCAAGACCGCCAAGGTCGTCCCCGCAGTTAACCAGATCGAAGCACACCCGTTCCTCCAGCAGCCAAAGCTGAAAGAATTCTTGGATTCGAAAGGCATTCACATCACCGCCTACAGCCCACTCGGAAACAATATCTATGGAAAGGCCAGAGTTATCGATGACGAGGCCGTACAGCAGGTTGCAAAGGAGACTGGCAAAGATACAGCTCAGGTACTCATTTCATGGGCCGTGAAGAGAGGAACCAGTGTTGTCCCCAAGAGTGTGACCAAATCACGTATCGAATCAAACTTCCAACGTTCGTACCCCTCTCCTGCCCCGTATTTTAATGCTTTTTTGAGTGTAATACTGACATTTCAAAGAATTCGAACTTTCGGACGAGGCATTTGCGAAACTCAATGCATTGGACAAGAACCAGAGATACAACGACCCTGTTGAGTGGGGTTTCGATATGTTTGAGGAGCATGATGAGGCTTATGTCAAGGCTGCTGCCCAAAAATGGGTTGCAGAGAACTGGAAAAAGGAATAGATGTGGTGTGATGTGTATGTAGCTGGCTAGATATCCATTAAGGGCGTAAAGCTCAAAATCCATGAGATTATTAAGTGCACTAGGCTGTCCATAAGTGACCCAATTACGCATACATATAGTGATCGTTGAATCGTCTGGATCTGGACTACCTCGAATCCCCAGGTAAGGGCCAGGTTGAATAATACATGCATGGTACCTGATTGTGAGAATATTCTACTGCATCTCTAGTTCTTCCTGCATTATCTTCCGAATACCCTCTTTAGTTTACTAATCCCCAGCCCCTTACCTGAAATAACTTTGTATATTTAGGCCTAAATGCATATTCACCCAGCATACTCTATGTAGTGGAGTATAACTGTATGCCCAGCTACTCTAGCTCAGCTCCACCCTTATCAGCGCCGAATAATAAGCCCGCCCGAACCGAAAACTAGCGCTCAGATTCGATACTAATCCGCACATGTCGAGTACACTTATCCTCAGGCGTTGATATGCGCATAGGTACGCTGCATACTGTATTTCGGATGAACGGCGTCAACGAATCGAGGTTCGGAATGGCCGCCGTTGGTTACAAGAACCAGGATATCGTATCATGACGTATATACCCTGGTACTAATCTGGCCATGGAGTGGTGCAGATATGATTCTGAGTGCAGTGTTTTATACTTGATCAACTACCGGCGCATGTGGCTCCGTTACAACCCCGCCAGGAATCGAAATAACAAATAACACCTGGTACTCGCCGAGAGAGTATGCGTAGAATATCTGACTCGACTACTTCTTCTGGAGATCAAAGCTAGGTTACAGCCATGTGTTCGTAAACTTGAAAGGGCCTCTCCAAGAAAAATATTCTTTCCCCCAGCCCAATCTGGTTTGGGATGATGAGTGTGAATGTATTTTATGCACTGAGTAAATTATAAACCGCACTTGAGGCTCTAAGTAACTCCTACAACATTATGTAAGTCCCAATTAATAGCAAAAAGAAAAAAACAGCGCTATCGAAAAAGAATAAGTATATCATCTTGAAACCCTGAATCTATATGGCATCAAAACCACTAGACTATATCTCCCAGCCTTTTCCTCTCCAATCTAATTCCGCATAACTCTTACTTCCACACCACGGTACATCATCTTTTCCGTAAGGCCTGATTGGTAAATCATAAGGCATCCTCAAACCCATAACCTTGGCACCCTTGGAATTCTCTATTCTCACATCTGGAGTATCCTTCTTAAACACAGGGATAATCTCAACTTTATCCTCGTTGCTGCCTTCAAAGAGCTCCGGGTAAATAAGCACGCCAACCTCGTAACTACTGATCTTGACTTCGCCCTGTCCTAGCCCAAGAAAACCACCGCTCGGACTTTTCAGAGCAGTGCCCCATGCTTGAGTGGAGAGATTCGCCGATGTCAACATGGCCCACTCAACACTCCTACATGTCTGATCGGTGAAACGTATATATGTTTTAATATGTGGCGCAGCCCGAGAACGTCCAGAGTGAGTACTATTAATTTGATTTGTGAGAGAGGGCGACTGCACAAATGATGAGTCCGAAGATGGATCCCAATGACACAAAAAAGGGCGCAGGTATTTGAGTTGTGATTCCTGCGGCTTTGTTTGGGTCCTAATATGAATTGCTTGGCCGGAAGCATAACCATTTAGGGAATTGCGGACCTCTTGGGCTGTCGGGAAAATGATCGAAAGCTTAGGTTTTTTCGCCAGTATAGAACCTGATGGAGGCATCGTGATGTTTCTAGCCGCCGATAAAGCTTTGTAAAGAACTGGAGATAGCCAAGTGTCCATCGATCCTAATGTCGCAATAGAGGATACCTGCAATACTATTCTCCCTTTGTCGCCATCTTTGTCCTGGAGGTTATTACTCAATGGAATATTACTCAGGACTCTTTTCAGACCCATCCATCCCCACCGCTCCCCCGCTCCCCGGCCATTCAATTGATACTTCCCAGGAACACTGGCAACAAATACAGCCCTAACTTCATTAAATGAGTGTTTCCCCAGCTTGTCGTATAGACTACCAACACGACTTTTACCATACGCTCTGAGGTATGCCAGCAGGTCGTTCTTGAACGACTCTCCGATAGGTCTTGGTTTTGGAACTGAAGCATCTGACGAGTTTTGAATTGATATAAGTGGCAGGAGTGGTGAGCGCCATACCGCTTGTGTCATATTCGTCCAGTCAAACTCAATCATATTTGAGGTATGGATAATAACCCTTAAGATATTACCGGTGAGTTACACGAAAACTCTTGACCATTATAAAATATTTAACACTCACTGTGCAAGTTCGTCATGTCGGAACAAAATGATCATCTTTGTGTGATGGGTTCCAAAAGGCTCTGGCATGTAGGCGGAGATAATTTTGGCATTACGATATCTACTAGCTTGTTCCTGCATTGCTATTAGTTGAATAAGTTAACGGCTCTATTTGTACTCACAAACCTCGAGCCTGGTTCGATTACCATCTTGTTTCCGCCAGCTCCCGTGAACAATTTTGACATCTACGATATCCTTTATATCCGAGTCAAACTGATTCCTAAGACACGCAAGCAATCATTAGCTAAAATAATAATCTGAAATCTGTTATTACTATTCCAGCTGTAAAGCAGTATATCGGCATACGCAGCTCCTAAGAGATCAAACAGGCAACTACCCATCTCTATAAATGAGATTTTCAAAGGAGATAGCGAAATCTTACATCACCCAATCGACATCAATCAGAAAGTTGAATATCCATGCCTCCTTAATCATAACATCACCTAGTATGTCATGAATCCTAATAGCATCGACGTTATCGGAGTCCGGGAGGTCTCTGATCCATGTCAACTGAAAAGGAGATGCCAATCGTTTTGTTTGGCCTTGCCCAGTCACAAATCCATTATTTCTTTTCTTTTCATGGGACTCTGGCTTCAATCCCTCCTCCTCTTGTTTCTGCTCATGGTCAACATGGGCGTTTACCATAGACCCATTGAAAAGCACCTGTTCTTCGCCAGTAAGGTCGATGGTGTCTACGCCCTTTATTCCTTGATTTTGTCTATCCTTAAGGTATGCCCTCACGAAGATGTCACCATTAGTCTCATCGATTGCTGGAACCTGCAAAGCTATCGAAGAAGGCTCTCGGCGGAGAGGTGGAGGCGATACAGCCCGATCAAGCGATGCGAGACCTCCGTTATTTTTTATGTTATCGATCCGCTGTCGTTTGAGTTGTGGCCCGGGAGTGTCCGAGGCTGAGGGGCGCTTTCCCGAGGGTTGTGTAGCCATTTCGAAATCTCCCTGGGAGATTCTTTGTTGAATGAGGTTGAAGGTTTGGTGATGTTCTTGCCAGGTTTGCGACGGATCTCACTATGAATGCTCAGTGGTGGGGGTTGAGCTCTGGGAGACGCGTTAAGCATTTTAGATGGACCAAGATGAATATGTATAGATGCTGTAGGGTCCAGTCGCTTCAGACAAATGAATATCTACTGTTCTACATGAAGCGCTTTTTCTACGTGTTTACTGAGAAATAATACATAGCATAATATTGTCCTCACATACTATCACTCGATTCACTCTACACAACTTGAAGTTTTTCCTGAAGGTGCATAACAAACTGTATGGTTATTAATGTGATAAATCTTGACAAAGAGGTCCTATTGACTGACACTGGACCGTGTTGACGGACGGACAAGGGCGAAAACTAGGCTTAGCTGCCTCTCTTTTAGCTTATCCGTCAACACGGTCCAGTGTCCGTCAATACCCCATGAACGACAGTACTCTAGGCGCGTAGTTGCAAAGGAACATGCATGTGGTAAAGGACATTTAAAAGTAGAAGACAAGATATCCGTGCATACGTATGTCCAGCTCTGACCCATAGCTCTTAACACTTAAAACGCCAAGCTAGTACTTACTGCCCCACCCCGCAACCCCTCTTCACATCGTTCTCACCATCCTCATCCTCATCCTCATCCCCTACAATCCTCACATCTCCACCACTCACATCCCCCAACACCTCAAATTCACATTACACAAACCATCGTCATGACATCCTCCGAATTCGATGCCGCTGTCGCCGCTGTTAACAGCTTCAAGAAGATGCCTAGCCAGGATGACGCTCTCCTTGTCTCTACTCCCGCGTCTCTGACTGATAATGAGTTTGTTAGTTAACCTGAAACTCTCTATAGTTCTATGCCTACTTCAAGACTGCCAAGTTCGGAAAGCCCACTGAGGGTCGTCCCGGATTGTTCGACATGAAGGTTGAATAGCTCCCTTATTCTTCTCGACTCTAAAAAAGAAAGAGAAAATAGTGAATATAGCATATACTAAAATTATCCAAAAAAAAATAGGGCCGCTACAAGTACGATGCCTGGGCTAAGGCAGCCGACGAATATTCCCAAGAGGAAGCCGAAAAGAAGTACATCGAACTTTACGAGAGCAAGAAAGCCGATTATGAGAATTAGACACGCATGGCTGTAATGGTCTGTTAGCTTGTGGAAATTGGGCAGTCTAATAAACTACATATACCATCTGCCCAGTTTGTTTGGTTGCAAGCTAAATGGAGTCGATTTTAAATTAGCCGGTGATTTCCTCTTAGTAAATTTTAAATTCATGATAAAGTGTCACTAGTTGAATTGTAGTAGTGGTATCTTAATACCTGATGTAGGAGAAGCAATGACCTCGTCCAGTGGCCCTACTTATATGATGCCGGCCAAGCATCAAAGGGAGATATAAGTGTAAGTGCACTTTTGGATTCCCGCCAGCCATATATTCAGATCTTGCCAAGCGGTGGAAATCAAATGGTACAGTAGATTTCGAGTACTTGCATACCATATACCACCGCATTCCTATTTCACTCCGCGCCGATAAAGAAAAAAAAAAAAAAAACCAAATCACAGCCAGAATGATGAAAATTCCAAAAAAAAAAAAGAAATGAAATGAAAATAGAACATAAACATAAAATCCCACGAGAATTCTAGATAGCGCAGATCGTTTTTTTCAACTTTGAAAATACATGCAGAACATAAGAAATTAGACAAAAGAAAAAAGAAAAGGGAGAAAAATAATAATAACAAGTATCGGCAAATTTTGTGAGACAAATAGTTGGGTTGCCTCACAAAATACTGTAGTCTAGTAGACCAAACAATTCATCTGATAAGATTTTTCAAAGACCCTCAATTTTCAATAGGGAAATAGAAGAAGGAAACCAAAAGAACCTGCCATTTCCCACACATCAACTCACCACTAATTACCGGTAATAGAAGTCGCTCCTCCATACACCTTTTTCCTCTGCATACCTAACCCTCTCTCTCATTAACCTAGTCATCCCCATCAATAACCTACCGGCTAGTCGGCTTTGGTCCCTGTATTTCCACCGAGCAGGCCCTCCTTTCCTTCCAGTTTGAAAAATCCACCGGCTCGTCTCCTCATCAAACCCTTCCCATACACAGCTGCCACAACGATGAGAACAATGGCACCAAAGGTGCTGAGCACAGGGTGGTGTCCGAATCCTGAACGCAGCCTGTAGAATACGCTGTAAAGGCGGTTGGTAGAAGACTTGCTTTGGATCTTGGGGGGATCGGCGATGACAGCCTTGAGCGTATCGAGGATGGCAGAACGAGAAGGACGGATTGGCGCGCCATCGAGCGTGATATCCCAATACCTCTTGTTCTGTATGGATGAGTTAGTACGATATAGTTAAAGAATAATGGGGGGATGCTCACGTCTTCATCGTTAATGATGATTCTCTCTCCAACTTCGTTGACATTAACGCCGTAGGTACTGCGCACCCATCGTTCCCAGAAGACGCCATCTACCCACGCAAAACCCACCTCCTTCTTCTTCTCTACGTTGATACGCATGTTCTTTGCCGCTCTCAGCGCTCGCTCGTCATCACGGTCCTCGGCCTCTTCTATGCGCAGCTGCTTCCGGTCTCGGAGTTCCTGCTTCTCGTTCTTCTCCTCCATCTGGCGCTGGTCCATGAACTCCATAGCAGCTTTCTTGAGCTCGGCCTTGGCGGTTGCAAAGTCATTGGGGCGGTTACGCGATAATATCCCGAGCACGACGGTCTTACCGTGCATGATCTCGTGGGAATTGGCAGCAGAGAGTTCCGGAACAATGGGAAGCCATACAGACTTCATCCAGTCGAGGACTTTGTTCGTATCGCGCATATCCTTGGGGGATAGCGCAAGATAGTAGCTTGGTTTTCCATCACGGACAACGATGAGACGGGGCCATGTAGTTACGCGGAACCGCTTTGCCATTAGATCGCTGCTGGTCTTGAGTAATGGGGCGTGTCCGATAAGGGGAAGAGTGATCCTCTCCAAGGCTGCGAAGTCTTCGCTGGTGGTGGCCTGGTCATAGAAATAGATAAATGCAACCTCCATACCGGCCTTTTCCATCTCCTCAAATTCCACAAGATCAACCTCATTCACGCCGGAATTGACAGCTTTCCGCGCATATGCAACGAGATCACCGAGGCCGCGGAGGCCATCATATTCAACGCGCTCGCCGCCCTGAAAGAACAAGATGGTTGGGTATCCCCGGAGATTAACATCTCTACAGAGGCGCTTCTCGACCTCGCAGTTGACTTCACCTATGTTCAGGGAGCCCTTCATTTCGCGACCAAGCTCGGACCATGCGGGTGCCATGGCTTGACAGTGCCCACACCAGGGCGCATAGAATTTGATGAACCAAGGGTCGCGGGTGGTGGTGACAAGACGTAGGAACGCTTCGGCATCGAGGTTCATGCTCTCTCCAAGAAGATTTGCAGTTTGCTTTGGTGGTGAAGGACGGGGAGACTGGACTTTGGTCGCCTTTTCCTCCGTAGCATCCGCTTCAGTCTCCTGCGCCTCTGTCTTACCAACCTCGCCCTCCTTCTCCTCTTTTTGGGGGGTTTCCTCCTCCGAGGCGTCAGGAACTTTCGGGAGGGTGATAGTTTTTGGTCTACTTCCTGGTTTGATTTCTTCCAGGTATGTCTCCACAAACTCGCTCAGGCTCGATAGGTCGCGGGTAGTCTTCTTGAACTGGTCAACAAGTTTTCCGTCCTTGTACAAATTAAACGTAGGGTATCCATGAATATTTAGTTTCTCTTCCACACAAATATCTCCGTAGGCATTGCAGTTTAGGTTGGCGAAATGGAAGTCATAATTTTCGGTGAATGAAGGTGACGCAGACTGAGATTTAAACTCGGCACCGGGAGGTGGGAGAGCTGTGCTGTCGAGCGTTGATGTAGAATAGAACTCATGGAGAGTTTTCCAGGTAGGCGCGACGGCAATGCAATGGCCGCATGTAGGGGAATAATGTTTTACAAACCTAGGGTAGGTCAAGGTCAGTCTCGGTCGATGAATTAACTCGCTCTTAATATTCCATTAGATAATCCCTTTATCGGCCGTCTCGACTCGCACCATTTTTGCCTCGGAATCTATCGGGGAGGATGCTCACCAATAGCCCTTTGCTATCTTGTCGTAAAAGTTCGTGCCGGTAAGCTCGGGAAGCTCTGGCGCTTTCACATCCCTCGCCGGCGAAGTTGTTTTTGATAGAGTATCGGCTTGAACTGGTGGTGGTAGAGGAAGAGGATTCGGGTCTGCGGAGACCAGAGAAGATAATCCGAAGACCAGAAGGCCCAGCGATAGAGATACGAAACGCATTTTTGGATGTCAAGATGGGCGGGGGGTGTGGGGTGTGGAGGGGGAGAGGATTGTGGACAATCGGAGTCCGGGTGTTTGTGGGAATCGTTCACACACACTCTCTCTCACTTGACTATCCTCAGTAGGGGTATCTACTGTATGTTCTGGCAGTGTGTATCTTGTTCACCTCATAGGGGGGTTAAGGTTAAGGGAGTGTTGTGCGAGTGAGGGAATCGAGACAGTTGTTGACAGGGGATGTACGAAAAGCGAAAAGCGGCAAAAAGGAGGCTCAAGGGATACCAAGTGACCAGCGGTTACCGACCACCCAAACCCAAAGAGGAAGACTTGATGGACGCTTTTGTCGCGAACGTTAACGTTAACGATGACAGCTCTTGGTGTTTCTTTGTTTGCCCCCCCCATCACATCCCTCTTCCTCCCACTGTCTCTCTAAGAATTGTCTCTCTACTTTTCCAAACTACTCCCTCCCATAATTTTTCAGTGTCTCGCGAACGTGCGTGCCCTAATACCTGTCCATCTCACTGCCACCACTCACTGCCACTCACTCACTTCCATCCACCTTCCTTCATAAGGTTAGAGGCTTAGCTACGAAGCCAAGTGATTTTATAACTCCCTCAGCTGTCTCACCTTTATTCTGTCCTTATCAAGGATTCAAGACTTCCGAGTTCTTTAGAGTGACTATACGTACTCTGGAGTATTTAGGTGAGTATGCATGGGCCCGGAGCTCTGGGGCTTTTGTAAAATGGTCTTAGGTCAGTTACTTGTGTGCAGCTTCAACCATTGGGAATATTTCCCGTGATACTTATCATATCAACTGAAGGGGCCATATTTAGTTACTCTAGGCCCTACACTACTCTACCCTACACAGCATCTAATCAATGCCTACTGACTCGCTATGAATAACCGAGACATATTTCAAAAACAGGATAGATGGTCATCTCCGAAGGATTCAATAATTTATGGGCCTATAGTATTACCGCAGTTTGGACTGGACTAATCTCAATATTAGTACTATAATATGTATCTGCCACGAACCCGAAACTCCCATTTCACAAGGCACAAATAATCACAATCCCATGACACATCATCTGCCCGTCATTTCCTAAGGGATGACTCCTTCAGGGGTCATAGAAGCTATTATAAAAAAATGGAAACACTTAAAATGAGTGGTCCTTGGTATCCCACGTTGCGTTCCTTCGAAACATCACTGTCAACCGTCGATCGCGAGTACTTCTTGCGTCCCGTATTTATATAATTCCCATGCCCCAGCCCAAGCCCAAAATTACATAGATACAGACCGTTAGTTACCCTACTCGGAAAGAAAAGGATATCACACACAGCTAGCCAGCAATGCGAGCAAAACGTCCCTCTAAATCCTACAAAATGCTCCCTGTAATCCCCGAGGACAGCAACCCCACCCAAGGCGTGCCGGTATGAAATATGCCAACCAGCCCAATTGCACCTACGGCTTGTATCCATACTAACCACAGGCTTGTATGTAGACAAACCGCATGACCGAGGTACTCACAGCCCGTTTGTTGAGCCTCGCGTCGCTGCGAGCTTCGACACCGACGCCAACGGAGGAAAAGGAGCTGGAGCGGAGACAGCGGAATGTGAAGCGCAATTTGGCCAAATTCATGAGGGATGAGCAGAAGTTAGAGGATAGGAGAATGAGAAGGAGGAAGGCGAGGAACATGTGGGAGAGGGCGGGCCTGGGGAGTTGCTGGGTTTGATTTATGAGTCTGAAGTTATACGATACGGGAGGACTTTTGGCAAACTGTTAAATTGAAAAAAAATCTGCTGATCATACCTTGAACCTTGATGGAACGATAATCACATCTGATAATACATATTTCGAGTGATATCCCATGTATGTGATAATATTCCATTACTCTTAACCCTTCGTTTGCCCTTCCACAAAATCCACCATCGGATTGAGCCCACAGCTAGCACAAGATACTAAAGTTTAAAATCTCGGTCTGCAGCAGAGAAATTAACAGATAGACTGTAAATCGAATGTTTTATTGGTGCCCCAAACTACCAGGCCAAACATAGCCGCATCTATCCATGGTCCGGTTTCGTTCTCATCTGATATAGAGTCTTGCTACTTGCGGGAATTTCGTGATGCATCGCTCCGGTGCCACCACCATCACTTTGGTTGTTGAGTTCATTTACCCATCGCAGGTGCTGCAATCAACACGTTGAGTTGTGCTCTTCAAAACAAATAGCGGCGAACTAGTGCTTAATGACAAAAGCTTAAAGCTGAGAGGACCCAGGGACTGAAATAGCTATGCCGGCTGTAACACTATATATGGCATTTTATATTTATGTTCCTTTCTAAAGAATTCCAACCTCTGCGCCAAAGACTCAGGGTCAGGGCATATGCTGATGACTATTTTGTACCTGCTTTACGGTCGGATTTCTTGAGCAAATACATGGCATGAAGGGATATAAGTGTGGGGGCATGTGAATGGTCGAACCACCGCTTCAACAGGGAGATCACAGCCTAAATGATAGATACTCTAAATCAATTAGAAGACCCTGAAACGTGTTATGTCGGCTTCAAAAAAAGAGAGAAAAATCCACCTCTTACTCTTGATCAATTGAAACTGCGTGTTGTTGGTTTGAAGGTGCCCGCAGCTGTTCGGGAGGTTAATTCGAAAAGATGAAGCGCGATAAAGTTTGAGTGCATGATGTTTTGTGATGCACAACCCATAACAGTGAGTTCCTCCCAGGGGTAACAATCGCAACGTGTTGCGAGAGAAAAAAATCGAATCACTGCCAAGTCCAAGATCTACCTTTCCGGTAAGCGGGGAATTCATAGAAAGACGTCGAAGTCTCACATAGACCCCTCTAATCCGGTGTTTTTCATAGTCGACTGTAAGTCTTCTAGCCCTTACTCTTCTGCTCGTTCGACTCCCTCGCTCATCACAAGCAAAGACTGTCGACTCCACAGCAATTCGCCAGTCGTCATCTCGGTGCATGCACAGCTCTAAGAAACCAGCTGGTTTGTGCTGCGAAGGGATCTCATAAGGGGAGGGAAACATTTCAAAAAATCTTTCGGCGCCATTGAGAAGATAGGAGGTGAAAGAGATATTATATATCCAAAAACTGTTAAATAGCGCTATACTAGTATAGTCAACCGCCAGACTTAGACCTTTGCTCTTGTCGTTTTATCCCGCTTTGCTGTTTGTGATCTTCAACGCTTGCTACTGCGGGTATGTACATTTGGTTTTCCCATTTATTCGTATTTTCTATGTTTGATCAATCCACTTCCCTCCCCCTGGTCTTTCATAGTTATATGAGGCGGTTATCACTAGCTTTTTACGACTCTAATCCTTAAGTGCCAGGAATCGAACTACGACCGTTGCCATTTGATTTTTTTTTTTTTTTTTCGTGTGTCATCCAACCAGTCAACCCAACCACACCCTTAGATCCTGCTCGCCACTTTCCCCAGCTTTATTCAAATTAAGACGTCAAGATGGTTCATATTGGGAAGAAGCTTCAGGAAAAACATAAGGATGGGAAACCAACGTTCTCATTTGAATACTTTGTGCCCAAGACCGCACAGGTTCGCTTTACCCCGCTATAATCGAATGCTGAGTCAATTCTTGCTAACAAAAAGTAACTCAGGGTGTTCAAAATCTTTATGATCGTACGTTTGCACTGGAGTGTTTCTCGTTTTTGCAGCAATTGATAACTGATAATTGAAAATAGGTATGGACCGTATGAATGCCTTGGGACCGCAATTCATCGATGTTACATGGAACGCTGGCGGTCGTCTGTCAAATTTGACCTGTGAAATGGTCAATGTGGCACAATCCGTCTACGGAATTGAGACCTGCATGCATCTTACTTGTACCGGAATGCCTAGATCGAAAGTCGATAATGCTCTTAAGGAAGCCTACAAAGCTGGCTGCACAAATATTCTCGCCCTTCGTGGCGATCCCCCGAGAGAGAATGAGAAGTGGGAGGCGGATCCTCACGGGTTCCATTACGCAAAGGATCTTGTCAAATACATTAAGCAAAACTACGGTGACCACTTCGACATCCATGTTGCTGGTTATCCGGAGGGTTGTGAGGACCAGGAAGATGTCGACTTACTCATCCAGCATTTGAAGGAGAAAGTCGACGCTGGCGCAAGCTCGATCATTACGCAGATGTTCTACGACGTCGATATCTTTTTGGATTGGGTCAAGAAATGTAGGGCTATTGGTATCACAGTACCCATTATCCCAGGAATTATGCCAATTCACACATACGCTGCTTTCATGAGAAGAGCTACATGGACAAAATGCCATATTCCCGAAAAATGGACTAAGCTCTTGGAGCCTGTCAAGGGTGATGATGTTGCGGTTCGTGACATCGGTAGAGATCTTGTTGTTGAAATGTGTAGGAAGATTATAGACGCTGGAATTTTGCACTTGCACTTGTATGGCTCCCGTATCACGGTTAGGTTTTGCGGTTATTGACATATGACAGTTATACCATGAATTTGGCCACTGCGACACGTATGTGCCTCGAGAGCCTTGGGCTTATTCCCTCACTGGAAGAGCGAACTAAAGCTCTTCCTTTCCGCCCCTCCCTTGGACTCAGACGCGACAAAGAAAATGTGCGGCCCATCTTTTGGAAGAACCGTCATCACTCGTATGTTCAGCGCACTCAAGAGTGGGACGAGTTCCCTAACGGTCGTTGGGGTGATTCCCGTTCACCCGCTTTTGGAGAGCTAGATGCGTATGGTATCGGCCTCCGCGGTAGCAATGATTCGAACATCAAGATTTACGGACACCCCAAGACAGTACGGGATGTGGGTAAACTTATTGCTCGATACATCTCCGGCGACCTCCCATCTCTGCCATGGTCAGAAGGAAAGATTAACTCAGAAGCTGATGCCATCTCCAAAGAGCTTGTGGACTTGAATAGTCGTGGATTCTTGACCATCAACTCCCAGCCTGCTGTTAACGGAGTCAAGTCAACTCATCCCATCTACGGCTGGGGCCCTA